GTCATCAGAGCTGATTTTAGCGCAATAATAAATTACTCCCTTTTAGTCTAATTTTATGACGCCCTGATCTAAGTCAAAGTGAGTAACCTGACCATGTTGCATGTTTCCAAAAACCGCGTTATTGAGGATAAATTATACTTTGTAAGTAAACTTTAACCAATCATATCAGTGTCAGTATCATGAAACTTGTCAATCGATACGGTCTTTAAAACAAATATTTTACGAGTATCATCAGTGGCGTAACGTAGGCAATATATTTAAAGTAGAGCCGGCCGCCATGCTTCCTGCACTTTGTATCACGTGGTGACCCCCACTGTCGCTTCACTATAGTCTGTATCGTCTTCGCGACGATACAGGGGGAGCCGCGCACTTCGTGCGCGGCGGGTCATATATATATATATATACGTATGTCGTATGTGGTATGACAACCTGCACTGTAGTGCGACACGTACCCTAGCGCTCCTTGTATCACGTTGCGACCCCCACGGTCGTTTCACTATGGTCGTCCTGACGATACAGGGGGAGCCGCGCACTTCGTGCATCGTGCGCGGCGGGTCATACAACGTATGACAAGGAAAGTTATGGGCAAAAAACCGTTTTGGTCACGTGACAGGCTAGTAAAATACGAATTCGATTGTTTAGGGTCCGGTTTAGGGTTAAGGTTGTGGTAAGGGTTATGGTTAGCTTCGGGGTTATGGTTAGGGTTAGGTTTGGGATAAGGGTTTATGTAAAACCGTTTTGTACGGCTGCAAAACCATAAAAACCAAAGTCACGTGAAATTTTTGGGCGAGCGAATTAGTAAGAGCCGTACCCTAGTGCGAAAACCTCAAAGATCGACACTGTCGCACTACAGTACGCTACCTGGACTGTGTCTGTAGTGCGACACGAATGTTAGTATATACGAAAGAGGGAGGTCTTGTCGAACTTCAGGTTTCGGACTACAGCTCAATTACGTGTCGCACTACAATACGTCGCGCGTTTATCGGCCGCTATTTGGGGGGGGGGGGCGCCAAATCAATGATCATTTGAATGTGGGAAAATTTTGAAAAACTTAACTTAAGTACTACTACTATACAACTAGCAAAACTACTACTAACAAAACTACTACTACTACTACTCTTGACCTTGTACTAGTTGTTATACGTTGTATGACCCGCCGTGCAGGCTCCGCGGCTCCCCCTGTATCGTCAGGACGATATTGAAATTCACATAGCCATGTGTATACGCCTTCGGCGGTCGCGCGCTACTAGCTGCAGCTGCAACTGCAAGCGAGAGGGCTCTGGTTAGAGCAAATATTGAAACGACCGTGGGGGTCACAACATGATACAAACAACAAAGTACTAGCAAAACTGCGCGTTTTGCTCTAGAAACACACGCGCATGTATCAACAAATTGCAACGTTATTTGTTCATTGTTGATTGTCTCATGTCGTGATCCTTATCGTCATTTCATTTAAATTTAATCATGAAAACCCCGCGGCGCGGCGAAAGCCACGATATTGCTGGCGGGCCCACAACGTGGTACGGGCCAAACCACAAACGTTACGCCATTGAGTACAGTATCAGTGACAGTATCACTCGTTAAGAAAATACCGTTAATTGCCATGTTAATATCGTAACGGTAAAATTTTACCGCTAACACATAACTGAGCAAAATAAGCAAATGCTCCCAAGCTCAAAGCTCGCTCAAGTAATTGCACTGTTTACTCTCTGCAGCTAATGCTTACAACTACAAGAGACGAACGCCTAGTGAGTGTGACTAGTCGTTAAATATATTCGCTAGGCAGAGTTCGCAAAGTGTGTACTAATAGTATTGTGTTATCTAACTCTGATCTAAGCTGATCCAAATCCAAGCTCATTTGCTTACGGGCGCGGCGTTTCGATTTAAGTTACCGTACAAGCCAATATTTACCTGGGGAGCCCAGACTATTATAATGTGCATAAACATACGCCGAATAGAGATTCGGCGGAATGACATAACAGTAATATTACAATATATGAGCCAACATGAGTATATGCAATATTGAATATGTATATTATCATTATGGTCCAACTCTAAGTCAAAGTTTAAAATTTCCTAGCTTGCTAATGCTATTGCATATTGCTAGTCTATTGCTCGCTTTTCTAGTAAAGAGTGTCCATCAATTTGACGCTTAGTGATTGTTATATCAAATTTGATTCAATTTCAAATAAGATAAGCGATTATTTGTTATACAGGGTGGCCCAGGAAACACTACCCATCTTTATCTTTTAAAATTGTTACAGGTCGCTGAGATCTTGCTAATTATTTTATTTCAGAATGGAAAAGCGCCTTAACTTACGTTTTGATTAATATATATATATATATTGGTTATCTTGCTTTGCTCTTATGAGTGGGTCAATCATTTATTTTTAATTGTAGTTGACGAAATGAGAGTCTCCACTCAGTGTGTTAAAACATAATTCTTTGTCGACGTTTCGGCTACATGCCTTTGTCATAAACAGGACGTACTGAAAACTTACATAGCTGCAAAGATACAATGTTAAAATAATCTATTAATACTACGAAATATAACAACAAAAAATAACATCTTGAAACCCAACAACGATCACAAATTTTTCCAAAAGAAACATAAAATATAACGGCTAAAAGAATCCACAACGCAACAAGCCGTGAACAATTCCTCATAGTACTACAAACATTTTACCAAGATAGCTCCTTCATAAAACTGATTAATCAACAAGAATTTCGCCGCGGTTACACCACGCACGATTAATTTTCCCTGCTTAAACCGTTAATATTTGCAACGAAAAGTTAATTTTAACGATTAATAAAAATTAGATATTGGATTATTTTGTTGTTAAAAATTTGCAATATTTTCATCGTAATTTGTTATTGCGCGCGTGCAGGATTGCGTGTAATCGAATATTTAGTACGCCGCGCACAAATTTTGGGCTAATTTGATTTGAACGGCATCGTTCGACAATTGAAATTCGCGTTGGATAACGCAATTAACTAACACATGCCGAGCGTCGCGCGCAGCATAACAGACGCTTCCTATACTCATAATTATAGGGGAGTGGTCTATATTGCGAAGGAGCAGACTTTTGTCATCATCGCAGGTCCATCGGGATAGCTCATATATCCAAACCCGATTACTTATTCCCTACGATCTTTTTGCCTTCGGCAAGAGCAGGGAAAAAAATTATCTAGGTTAATAAGTTCAATATTACATTAACTTCCAAGTATATTTTATCCAATCACCTTCATTTACGGACTCAGACAATTGAGTATTTATTTCTGGGTTTTCACGTTTTATTAGAACCGACTGCCACAATTGACGGTCCACATAGTCTTTACATCTTTTTCGAACTATAAACCGAAACGGTATGTTTGGCATTGAAATGTCTGCATGCTCCTCTAGGTAGTGCTTCCCCATGGCCGTAGATTTGTTGCCATCCCTTACTGATTTGTAGTGTTTCCAGGCTCTACTTCTTTTAAACCTACCAGTTTCCCCAATGTAGGACTTATTACATATTTGGCATATTAATTGGTAGCAAATGTTTATATGATTGGATAAAATATACTTGGAAGTTAATGTAATATTGAACTTATTAACCTAGATAATTTTTGATTAATCAGTTTTATGAAGGAGCTATCTTGGTAAAATGTTTGTAGTACTATGAGGAATTGTTCACGGCTTGTTGCGTTGTTGATTCTTTTAGCCGTTATATTTTATGTTTCTTTTGGAAAAATTTGTGATCGTTGTTGGGTTTCAAGATGTTATTTTTTGTTGTTACATGTTATATTTCGTAGTATTAATAGATTATTTTAACATTGTATCTTTGCAGCTATGTAAGTTTTCAGTACGTCCTGTTTATGACAAAGGCATGTAGCCGAAACGTCGACAAAGAATTATGTTTTAACACACTGAGTGGAGACTCTCATTTCGTCAACTACAATTAAAAATAAAATATATATATATATGTATATTATGAAGAGCATCTTGACTTAAACATTAAACTTAAAGGGGTTCGTAACTGTGGTTACCTGGGGACCTCAGGCTATCATGTTCATACACGAATAGAGATTCGGCGGAATGACTTGTATCACGTTGCGACCCCCACGGTCGTTTCACCCTTTATCGTCCTGACGATACAGGGGGAGCCGCGCACTTCGTGCGCGGCGGGTCATACAACGTATGACAAGGAATGACAGGCTGAGCGCGGCCCAGTAAAACTGTGGCCGTGAGTCCTTTACATCACAAAATTGGCATAACCTGGGAACCGGCAGGCTATAACTATAAGTATAATGTTCATTGTTCATAAACATATATGCAAACCTATTGAAAATGCAGCGGAATCATGACAGGCTTAGCTTAACCTCAACCTGGCGCGCCAATCGCAATGTGCATCACGTAACGTGAGACTGAGAGTAGAATAGACTAGCAAACTAGGTTAAGGAAAGGCTGAGCGCGGCCCGGCCCTGAATTGTAAGTAAGACAGCAAAGACAAAAGGGACGTTAAATTAAGGAGAGCCGGGATGCAGGACCCCGAGATTCGTGCTGTTCGTAAGTTAAGCGGTTTTCTTTGTCCTTGAGGCGCACGCGCAGTTTTGTTTGGCCCATTGTCGTAAGAGTAAGACAATCTTAATCCTCCATAATTATGGAGGATTATGTGATGAAAGGAGTAGCCGAGAATCTAGGCGTGTAATTCGAATACGTACATTATTAACATTAAGGTGCGTTGCATAGAGTTGGTGATTAACTCATTGTTGGAACAAGAGCTGTACAATGTTACAAGAGCTGTACAATGTTATAAATACGACCGTTATGTGCACCAGGGCGTGGTGTGATGAAGAGTCATGTGTGGCCAATACGAGCAAGGTGACGTCTGTAATATGTGTGAAAACCAATGTTGAATGTTTAGCTTTACCGTGAAACACATACTCCACACCATTTCAGGTTTAAGTGTCCCATTTCCAGTGCAAGTGTAGCGGTCGAAATCAAAATAAACGAGGGTTTCGTCAAATATCATTAAAAGCAAACAAATGTAACATAACATAAACCGTCAACCGCATAGTTGTTATATTTGCAGCAATCTTGACATTTCTGAAACAATCTTGATAAATGTAAAGCCATGACATTGTGAAATAATAGTTTCAAACATAACCAATTAGGACTTAAAAAGTTAATAAATTCCCGCTTCATGAGAAGGGGACATCGCTAAAATTCGATTAAAAGAATCTATAGAAAGTAAAGATATGGATAAAAACGATGTTAAACCTGCAAATAAAAACATTTGAAACCGGTCCCGTGCACCGTGCAACGGAAACCTTTAACTAACTTAAACAATTTAACAAATAACTTAATGAGATCTCAAGTTCCATTTATTTCATCTCAAGAGCTTGTCGAGCCATCTCCATCGCTCCTTGCTCTGTCTTATTTCCACCTATAAACCCTGTTGCGTGCACGAATATACACTGAAATATATTTGTTTTAGAATACACTATTTTCAAAATACCACTCTATTCAAGTGATTACATTTTAGAAGGTCACAACAAATACTCAATTAATATAACCAAACATTTACTAAAAACCAAGCGCAGGCCGCTTACCTGAGGAATTCCAGTCAGCTCGGACAGCTTCTCATCCCTGACACCTTGCCAACTCTCGGGTAATGGTTTCCTGCTCTTGAACCCCTCTCCTTTAACCCCAACTGTCTGTACACGCCACGCTCCATTAGAGTCAGCGTATAGCACGTACTTAACCTCTCCTTCACAACCAGTCTCTTTTTCAAGCTGGTAAAGGTGCTCTTTCCACGGACAACCCCCTGGGATCATGTGGAATATTGGTAACTTGTAAATACTCTTTATTTGATGGATAGTCATTTTAAGGATTTAGCATTTGTCTAACAGATTTCGAGGGGTGAAACTGCTAGAAGAAGTGTTACTAAATTGAAGACGAGACTTTTTATAGGAATGCGTAAATCACGGTCACTTTTTAAATCGGATACACAATGTTACGTCCCTTATAGTTTATATATCTTCTACTCCCGCTGTGCGTACTGCGTAATTTCATGGCCAACGAGGTTACGGTTTAACATTTCACATATCCACGGGGATACAGAGTGTGAGTAATCGAACTAGTTACCTTGTTCGAACTTGACGAGTTGCCCGGAGCTATGAACCTCATGTCTCTTGTTGAAAGCTTTCCTGATGATATCTTGAGCCGGGAGCCATCTTTTAACCATCCCGTCTACACGGTTAACAAGTTCACCACCAACCATCTCGGTCGCTTTCTCAAACTGGCCATCAAAATCCTGAAGTTGGGATTGACTTTAATAACGCGACGTGTTTATCGTAACTTTTCAACCGCTTAGACCCACAGTATAATATCACGTCACGTTGTCACACACGGGCAGTGTTATAGTCGGGACCATGTTAATTGGAATCTGACGAGACTAGTACTAGAGTCTGTGCTATCCAGCTAGAGTCTTGAATTGACGTGATTTAAGTAAAAAGTGGTACAAAGTTAAATATAACTGAGTAACACAGTAATGCCCCCCCCCCCCCCCTCAGTTATAAGACTTACTTGAATAGTGTCGTTCCAGGCCGGGTTGAGATTACGGACTCGGCCCCCTAAAGTGGTGGTTATGTGATACTTAGGCTTCTCTTCTGTTGCGTTTATTCCATTGTCCACTGCATCTATCTCTTCCATAAAGTACTCGTACAGTCGTTTGTAAACTATATCCTTGTGATCTTGACTAGAATCTGGCATCAACTGAAACGAACTTAAATAAACATCTGGACGTGATCAGAAATGGATCAGCATAAGTGTGCTAGGCTTAATTTCCGTACATCTGTTATAATAGTCTGTAGGTTAGTAATTGATACTGAGAAATGTACGTGATTCTGGAGTACAAGTAGCGCGCGTTGACTAAAATATCAGGCTATGTGGTGTCTGGTGAGCCAATTAGATGAGTGACAGGTTTGCCACTACGAGGAATGTACAAAGTATATTTAAATGACAATTATCAGCACTCACTCTAGGAACATGAAATGAAGAACCCCTTTCAAGACTGAAGACACATTCAGAGAGAAGAGGAGATAGGTTAGATGGTAATAGTGGGTCCGGTCGCGTCGGTTGGATAACGCGCGCGCGCAAAAGAACAACGAGACGCGCGAGGGTGTCTGCAAATGAATCGAACATTTGCTAGTCGTCTAGATGATTGGAGATATCTGCCCACAAATGTAGCAAAAATGTACCAAAATGCGGACAAATTTGTGACACAAAATACAATAAAATGTCTACGGAAGTCGTATCTTTGGGAAATACGGCCTTAAATCACATTTTCTTCATGTTAAATCGAATCACTACAATAACCACAGTCCAATACAATTTCGAAATCCAAACTGATTATCCAATAAGCTAATTGTCAATTAACCATCAGCCTGCCAACAAACTTGTAATTAAAATTAAGGAAAAGTAACCTGATCCAGTAGCCTGCGTCCAAAATGCAAATAAATCAATCCTGCAGAACTGAGCTTGGTGTTGAAATTCATTTTACCATCTGTTAGATTCGCCATGGTTCCCGTAAACGTCCTGAAATTCAAGATAAGGTACTTCAGACTTATTTCAGGTAATTTAGCTTGGCATTGAAGGACTTCGACGGATAGGTTGGGGAGCTTACTGTGTATTTTTCATGTATAAAGTTTCCCAGAATTATCAAGAAAATAATTTCCAGAAATTTCAAACATGTCAAATAAGTCCAGAAAGAAAGGAAAATGGTAACTGTAGTTCAGCACAAGAACGTCGTGCCCCAGAACACTAAGGTTACGGCTTGTGGTAGCCCTGGGGCACGAACTTCTGAGAAATAACAACATAAACCAGGCAAGAGAAAGTAAATATGTGTCAGTTTAAAAGTTAGAGTATGATTAATTTGTGTTTAGTTACCTCTGATGATGATCGTATTTATGAGTTGAAGGATCGTATACTCCACCAACATCGACCACAATATCACATTCTGATAACTGTGCCGCGTCTCTTGTTCGTACTGACAAAATAATTATCTACACTTTATTGTTTATTCTTTTGTTTAAATTTAGGTTCAAAATGAATAGGTAGACTTGCCTTATGTCCAATGTAACTTAATACTGTGAGAACAAAGCGAGGAAGAAAATAGATAAATTCGGATCACAGGCTAGTGAAAACAGACAGTGTAATTTCTTATGATTTAATGTAAACCAGGATGAGCTAAATCCGTAATAAACAGCATAAGTTATGCTGCATAACTTACGATCAGTAAATACATATCATAACAATTATAAAATATTATATCAATTATTTATATGATCAAATACATTGAATATCTACATTGTAAAACAATACACCCTTAGATAATAAACCTACCTATAGTTGCATCTTTATACTCTGGCAGCTGTTTCAACATAAAACACGCCAGTGCTTCGTCACAGTGAAATGTGCCGTTGTGAGTTCCTGAGATATTGTAGAGTGAAATAGTGAAACATTTTGGTAAATATAGTAAAACATCAGCATAGTAGATCAAGTATAAAGGTGTGCTGTAATTGAAGGCTAAATTGCCAGCAAGTAACAGATAAATGACAGGTAAGGCATTTATTTTGGATAAATTAGTAGGATCAGGAGTCGGGCAGTGAAAACAGGCAGTGTTTGGAAAATATATCTCAAATTTACATGATAAGTTTACATTATAAAATGTAAATATAGAAACACGATTTTCAGTAGAATATAACAACATTGAACTGACCTATACGAACACATGGTCTCTTGGATGAACACTCCTGCACCATCTTACTAAGAATAAACTCGTCATTAAATTATCAAATTTTTAAATCATTAAAGTGGAGGCTGAAAATCAAGCAGAACATCTGATTTTGTGGCTCATTTTAAAAGTATTTCTCCGTAATTAACTAAAGAAAATATGGAACATGCTTGAGATTTGAAGAAGAAGTTTTAAAAGGAACATGCCGAACCTGGCTATGGCATGTGAGAGTCGAAGTCTGTGAAGGAGCATAACATTCCTCACATTCTAATTAATTAGGATTAATTATATTCAAATATCCTGTTTTTTGTACGGTAAAAAATATTATGGTCGGATGATTTCAAGCTTACAAGACAAACTGTGGACTCAATTTGTTTGCTTTGTTTCTATATCGGATGTGATTCCACTTTGTTTTAAAACTTGGAAGCGATCAACCTACCAGCTTGCAACAGTGATGAATTAAGATTTAAGTTGCATTTTATCACTGACACGTGTCGAAACAAATTGAGATCACATCGTACCCGAAATTGTATCTAACGAAATCTGGAATGTTTAGCAACAATCCACTTCCAAACAAAAACAAATAATCACAAGCTTTTTTTTGATAAATTATAAAAGTAGTTTTATAATAATATCATGTATCGAAAGGAAAGCCAAGATTAAAACATCCTAAAGAAAATTAAGACGGGGAAAACATCACAGTGCACTACGACAAACATCATCAGCTGACACATCCTCAATTAAATTAAATTCTAGGCTAATCTAATCTTAAATACTAGACAGATGAGAGACATTTATATTAATACAAATTAGTTTTAAAGTTATATTTTACTACTATCGCAGGCACAGCATTAATAATTCATATAGAGCACAAATAATATGTAGAGAATGGTGTTTAGAGAACTGGCCAACTGTTAATTAACTTGTAATTGTTAATTAACTTGTAATTATTAATTAACTTGTAATTGTTAACTAACTTGAAAGTACATTTGGGTCAAAAGTTGCGAATTGAGAAGCCATGATTTGTCTTCCTGTCAAGAATGAAGCTTATTAACTGAATAGTTTTACAGTCCGATGTATAGAAGTACAACGAGGACACATCTCTGTAAGACCTACCAACTGCGTCATTAATCAAGACCTCTTGTGAAATTGCACAGTTGTTCAACTTCATATAAAAGTACAAAGATATATATGCTCTGCTGGACTGGACTTATATAAATTTAGCAAAGTATTGGGACATTTAAAATATCAATAAATCAAAGATTTTTAATAAAAGAATAGTTTATACACCATCAAGGTAGGAACGCTCCAGGGTAGGAAAACCTAAATTCTAAACAATCAAATGTATTCTGAGATAGACTGGACAGATTGGATAAATTTTATGTTGTAACAATTATTGCCACACTATCAAGATAATCTAAATTCTTCCCCAGCCTGAGAAAAAACAGGTGCAGCTGTCAGCTGTAATATATAATGAGGGTTGCCTAATATAACGGTGACTGATCAAAAGTTCTCATATCTAGGGGCAATTATCAAGCCGTTAGGGGGTCGGGTTACCCCGTATCAGACACATCAAATATAAAAACATATATTGTATATTCTATCAAAGTCAGATTAAACCGGGAGCACGATATGCCACGTGACATGCATATATATGCCCAAAATATAAGCTAATCGCATGACATACTATGTACCACTATCATAACACGTCCTTAACCAACCAACCCACACATTTGATTTGATTTTTTGCAAATTGTAGCATTATTCAAGATTTAAGATTGTCTTCTAGGGTCAGATGGTAAGATCGAAGCAGTCGATCCTGTCCTCGTCTTCTTCGTCGTACCACGCCTCCTCCCCCGCCACATCCTCTATCACACTTTTCGATGAAGATTCAGATACGGACTTAATCCTGGACTCCTTCTGCAACTTCTCGATAGCATATTGAATCTGATGCCCTGTTTTTAAGTTCATCGCCTCTGCTTCCTGGAGGGCCTTTGTTCTCTCAGGATCCTCTTCCAGAACCTTGAAAGTGCTAGCAGAGGAGCTGGCAGTGTTAGAAGCGCTGGCAGTGTTAGAAGAGCTTGCAGGATTAGAGGAGCTTGCAGGATTGTCCTGAGCTGCCCGCCATGTGCTAGTCGGCTCCGGCTCAGGTTTAGCTTTAGTTAGCGGACGCCAGGTGTCGCCCTTTTCCCGTGTGTCCACAGCTCTAGCTGGACAGGGCGAATGTGTCCTCCTGTACCCCTGATTCAGGACAACCTCCACACTACCACTATCTGCAGCTGCTCTGATGTCTGTCTTGGGGATGTTGTTGTTGTGAGTGACCGTTTTAGTCACCAGATCCCCCAGATCACTCAAGTTGAAGCCTCTGGGTTTTATCTGCTTGTCCGACTTCTTCTTGGGAGTTTCTGGAGGAACTGGTTTCTCAGCAGGAAGCGGTATATCAGCTGGCTCGGGAGAGCTAGAGGGTAATCTCACCTTTTCCGGCTCGCTCACCAGCACAGGAGGAGGTTCTGTTGTCTCCGGCTCTTCTTTTATCTGCTCAGTTTTAGGTAGAGCCTTCTTTTCTCCTGACTCACTTGACTTTTGGCGGTTCTGCCAATAGTTCTTCTTCATGTTAACCGGGGTCCCAGCAGCGTCTGGTGACTTTAACAGGTCCTCTTCTGTTGGTAGTTGAGGTGGCAGCCGAATAAGCCCTGGTGTTTTAGTTTGCTTTACTGGAGTCTCAGAAGCAGAGGAGGTTTTAGCAGCTGGCGGTGGTACAGCTTCGGAGCTGGGAGCTGGTACCTCGGTGCTCTTAGTGGTGGCGATGGGCGGAGCACTGGCTTGGAAAGCATCTTGGGATGTCACACTGGAAGTTGTAGAGACAGGTTCAGTAGCTGAGCTCTCAATTGCAGAAGAGTCCTCCAGTTGTAAACTGGGAGAGGGAACTCTAACATCGGAGACTGGAGCAAGATGAGGTTGAGTGGTAACGGCAGCGGGAGCCGGTATGTTGATACCAAACTGTCGTGGTGGTATACCAAGTGCAGGATCTAATAAGGGTGTGTTCTGAGGAGGGGTTATGTTTGAAATGTTGCCCATCTCTGGATGTATTGGTCTTGGTATCATGATCTGTTGACTTTGTAGCTGGCCTTGCATGAAGTGCTGAGCTGAAAGACCTCCAGGCATCAGACCATGAACCGGTTGACCAGGTAGCCGCTGACCAGTAAGTGGTTGAGTTGGCTGATCAGAGAGCTGTTGTCCAGCCATAAAGCTCTGCATTTGAGCCTGCTGTTGTGCTAAGAACATGGGGTGAACATGCTGTCCCATCGGTAGTTGATGCATCATCTGAGGAGGTAGCTCGGCGCCCGATTGAGATACAGAATTCATCATCATTTCTTGTTGTTGAGCTCCTTGCTGCATCCAAGGAGGTGCCACCATGTTCTGACCACCTGGAATCATGCTTAGACCCTGGTTCGCCATGACCTGTTGGTTCGCCAATGTGCAATACTGCATAAACTGGGCGATTTGATCAGGTGTCAAGGTCATATTTTGACCTTGCATCTGCATCTTTTGCATCTGCTGGAACATTTGAGCCATATCCTGGGTTTGTTTCATTTTCATCTGCTGAACCATCTGCTGTTGCTCCATTTGTTGCACCTGTTGTTGTTGCTGCTGTTGTTGTTGCTGTTGATCTACAGCCCGATGTTGCATTGCTGCCATCATATGATGCTGCTGTTCTGGAGTCATAGGTCTCATATGTGGACTGTTCATAGGATGGAAGTGAGGGGGCGGGGTTCCTGAGAAGGATCCTACTTCCTGTTGATTAGGTATCGGTACAGGGATGGCGGGCATGGGATGCTGGCGACCCATCATAGCGTGAGCAGGGTGAGGCTGCATCATGTGCTCAGCAGGATGCATCATCCTAGGAATGGGAGAAGCAGGGTGTCGAGGAGGGGAGCTGTAAGGAGAAATGTGGTGACGTAGTGGACTGTGGATTGGGCTCTCGTAGAAGTGTCGGGGAGATTGGGGAGGAGTTTGTCCTGCTCCGGAGTAGAGTCGAGGTGAACCACAAGAACTGCTCTCGGAGTGGCGTGGCGTTCTTCTTGGGCTGAAACATAATCACATTTAATTACCTATTCACTTGTGGAAACAATTTTTACAAAACTGAAAATATTATTAGAGGATGTGAAAAATGTTGGAAAGGTTTGTAGAATTAGATAACCATACTTCAGGAAGAGAAAAGAAGGGTAGGTGATAAAATATGGACAATCGCGTAAGTTCAAGTTCTCAACATATGGGGCGTCGAGTAATCACAAAGAGCCAGATAATAATAACATGCATTTAAATGAATAACTAGAATATTTTATATCATATCGTATCTGGCAAAGCACCAAAAGTATGTGAGAATAGGAAACTAGGGGCTTTAGTTACAAGGGTTCGAATTAGAAACAGGCCGCATATCATCAATTACGTGACAGTGAAATTATATTATTGTTTGTATAATTCCAATACTGAGGGTCATATTTCGAAAAAATTAAAGTTAGCACAATTAAAATTCACAACAAAAAGCCTAGGCCCTGGACCGTGAAAAATAGCTAACTGGTGCTGGTGGTACCTGGGTATGAAGGCGCTGTCTCTGGGTGACTGAGAAAGTTGCTCCAGCATGTGAAAGTTTGGGGGAGGTGGACGATGCTGGAACGGTATCATGTTCATTGGACGAGGCCCTGAAATTGTAATTCATGAACTTGCTGCCAATTATTCTCGGTAAAAGATCCGATTATATAGAAACTGTTTTAAGAAGTTTTCTCATCGATTGCTTCATTCCTTTAAGCTGAAATCCACTAAACGGTCAATATTCATAAGCATAACATATTCCAGCTAAGCAAATAACTACGATCTTGAAACGAAGGAATGCAAAGAATGCATACTCACCTCTAGGGAAGTGTCCGTGTCCCATCCTTCCAGTATCTCTCCTGTCAAATTTACCACCTCTGTAACCACCTCTGTGAGAGAACCCTCCTCTTCCCGGGTGATCTCTCTTGTTTTTCATCGGCCTGGTCATGTCCAGGGTTAAGAAATATCGGCTAGGTAAATTTTAATAGAAGAGTTAAGAAATATCAGCCTGTTAATGTTTAGAGTTAAGAAATATCAGCCTGGTGATTTCCAGGGTTATATTATCATATATTATTATATTGGTCTGGTAATATTTAATATAGAGTTAGGAAATACCGGCCTGGTAATGTTTAGAGTCAAGAAATATCGGAACGATTATGATCAGTACTGGGAGTATTAAGAAATCAGGAGCAGAACCAAGATATGATTTAAACCGGACATGTTTAGCTAACCGTTTGCTAGTTTTGAAATCCCCGCTCGTTCTGCTGTCACGACCATCCGAAGAAGTACTGACAGAGGAGGACTCTGCCTCGTTGGCCGAGTCGTTCAGCGCTTGTTGGAACTGTTCGGCCTTCAACCGCGCAGCCCGCTCGTCAGCTGCCACATCTACTGAGGGGGAGTTATAATTGATATTATCAGAAAAACGGATTCCTACATAGTATGTGTATGTGACTTTTATATTTTATTTGGTGTTTCCGATATAAAAGTATTTAAGATAAGGAGTTGTTGGCTTCACAACAGCGACAAAAAATGGCGAAAGGACTAAATATAGAATTCTTTAGAACGGTGATTGGAATTTGATGTAATCGGCGGTGAAATCCAAAATAGATCACAGAAGAGATTCTCACAGCGCTGTGAATTTGATATAATAGCAGAGCCGGCCTGAAAGTTCTGTGATAATGTAATTAAGTTTGCCCCGCTCCCAAAATTCTTTTAAAGTAATGATGTAAGTTGACATTCTGTATTCAAGTAATATTCTCGTAAATCACGGTCACCGCCCACACAGGCTAGGTGTGTGAAGTTAATGTGTCTAGGAACAACATTGTAACGGAGCTTATGTACGTTTTACTTTAAGTCTATGGTTCGTTTGACAGTTTTGTTAAAATGTTTGGGTGTTGAAGAGTTATTTCTAGCCTCTAGGTTTCGAATTCTATAAATATACCATATTACATACTTATATACCATATTTATAATTCATGGAAAGTTGGATGTCAAAACCCGGGGCGCCGTAGGGCCCGCTGTGCTGGACAATGGAACCGCTAAAGTTAACAGTGACCCTCAAAATCATCGGCCGGGCATAGCGCCAGACCAGGATTCTAAGTATCCATATACTGCGATGTGTATCATGAGTCAAGACTACTTGCATTTCAATGACACACATGGGACTAAGGTTTTTTTTTTACAAATGTCCCAGACCCATAGCTAGATCTGTGAATTTTAGGCAGACCGACTCGACAGCGGCCAAATTTTGCGCATTATGAGCCCCAAGCCCGATACCCACTTTGCCTCCCAATTATATTATCATCTCGTAACTTCATAATGAAGGTTCCGTTATTCATTTAAAGATTAAGTTTTTTCGATTCTGGGCACGTAGCCCGACACGACACGTAGCCGGGGCGAAGCTCCTTTGGTTGGCTAGGGAGGGGGGAAGGCGCAGCCCCCAGAAATTTTTGAGAAATAGGGTGATTCAGACGACATTTGGCATTAAAGAAATTTTTAGGACAGCAATAATCATACATCAGAATAATATAAAGTTGGTGGGCTAGGGGAGCGAACCCCCAGGAAAATTTTTGAGAAATAGGGTGATTAAAACGGCATTTGGCATTAAAGAAATTTGGGGACAGTAATAATCAGAGATCACAATAATATAAAGTTGGGGGCCGGGGGGGCGCAGCCCCCCAGAAAATTTTTGAGAAATAATGTGTTTTAGACGACATTTGGCATTAAAGAAATTTGTAGGATACCTTACTCGGGATTATTATGACCGGGATAAAGTGGTGGGTTTAGGGTAATTTCGCCATATTTTTCCCGAACCACATTTTCACCGGTCGTTAATAAACCCGCCTACTCAGCTTTTAGGGTTCCCAAGGGGTATGGGTGCTCATATTTTAATCGTTGTCTTATATTCACTAAAGAAGACTATTGGGACACTTGTTGTAGGTTTTTCGACTTCATTTGGCTAAAATTGCAAAAAATTCACCTTTTTGCCCAATTCTTGTCATATATCCTTATTGTCAAATTTGATTTAAATAGGCCAATTTTTAATTTCTTTAAAGGTATTGACTATCTCTACATAATGAAATAGGACTCAAAGTAAAAGTAACAGTTACATTAAAACTTGAATTAATTAAAACTGATGAAAGGGATGATCCAGATGAAGATAACGAAGATGATTACAACTTATTGGAAGACTAAACAGCTCTCCCTTTATCTTAATATCGATCTGGTTGTTACGCTTCAAATGTTTAAAATTATTTTCCATCTAGTTTGATTAACCACGAGTCATTATTTCTGTCTACTTTCAACAATTATTAATAATTCGACTTGTTTCACAAGTTTTAGCAATGCGAAAATTTCTAAACTTGCTTATCTCTAATAAGGAAATTTACATCTGAGACAAAATTTTTGAATCTAAAATTGAAAGGTTGGACACCGGTAAAATGGCGACCGGGAAAATGTGGTGGGTTTTGAGCAATTTCGCCATATTTTTCCCGAACCATATTTTAACCCGTCGTTAATAAACCCGTCGTAATAATCCCGAGTAAGGTAGTAATAATCAGACATCACAATAATACAAAGTTGGGAGGCTAGGGGGCGCACCCCCCGGAAAATTTCTGAGAAATAGGGTGATTCAGACGACATTTGGCATTAAAGAAATTTGTAGGACAGCAATAATCATACATCAGAATAATATAAAGTTGGTGGGCTAGGGGAGCGAACCCCTAGGAAAATTTTTGAGAAATAGGGTGATTAAAACGGCATTTGGCATTAAAGAAATTTGGGAACAGTAATAATCAGACATCGCAATAATATAAAGTTGGGGGGCCGGGGGGGGGGCGCAGCCCCCCAGAAAATTTTTGAGAAATAATGTGTTTTAGACGACATTTGGCATTAAAGAAATTTGTAGGACAGTAATAATCAGACATCACACTAATATAAAGTTGGTTGGCTAGGGAGGGGGGGGGGGGGCGCAGCCAATCAGAAAATTTTTGAGAAATTATGTGTTTTAGACGACATTTGGCATTAAAGAAATTTGTAGGACAGTAATTATAATCAGACATCACAATAATACAAAGTTTGAGGGCTAGGCAGGCGCAGCCCTGGCCTTCGGAAACTTTTTGAGAAATAGGGTGTTCCAGACGACATTTGTGGGACAGCAATAATCAGACATTACAATAATACAAGGTTGGTGAGCTGGGGGGGAACTCAGTACTTGTCACATTGAATGGAATAAGTACATATTGTATTGTGGGATTTGGGAATAATTTACGAAATGCTAAAGTCGATTGCCTGTCGTGTCGTTTAATCAAACAGTCATAAACACAGCCCACTTACCAGGCGACCATGGGGACTAGGGGGCTTATTTTTTTGGGGTTCAATTTTTTTCCGGGGGTCTTCCCCTTGGCTACGTGTCTGCATTCTAGTTGCCAGACCCACTCTATTAGAGTGCAGACTCAACATTTTGGTTGCCAGACCCACTATTCTAGAGTCCAGACCCACAATTCTGGTTGTCATATCTCCTATACGGTATTCTAGTTCATAGACCCCCAATTCTGGTTGACAGAGTGAAGAATTACCATTCTGGTTGCCAGATTCACTCTTCTAGAGAGGATACCCACTCTTCTAGTAGGTATAGAGTCAAGACCCACTATTCTAAAATGCAGACCCACCATTCTGGTTGCCAGACCCACTCTTCTAAGGCGAAGACCTACCATTCTGGTTGCCAGCCCCACTCTTCTAGAGTGTAGACGCACCATTCCGATTGCCAGACCCACTATTCTTGAGTGAAGACCCACCTTTCGGGTTGCCGGACCCACTATTCTAGACTCTAGACTCCAGACGCACAATTCTGGTTGCCATATATCCTATATTCTAGTTTAGACCCCCAACTCTGGTTGACACTTGACAGAGTGTAGACTTACCATTCTGGTTGCCAGACCCACTCTTCTAGAGTGAAGACCCACTATTCTAGAATTCTTACCCACCATTCTTGTTGCCAGACCCACTCTTAGCTAGAGTGAAGACTCACTATTCAAGAATTCTGACCCACCATTCTTATTTCCAGACCCACTACCCTAAGGTGCAGACCCACCATTCTGATTGCCAGACTCACTCATCTTGATTCCCTTGATTGCAGACCCACTATTCTGGTTTCCAGACCCACTCTTATAGATTGCAGACACACCAATCTAGTTGCCAGACCCACTCTTCTAAAGTGTAGACCCACCAGACCTATTATTCTAGAGTGAAGACCCACCATTCGGGTTGTCCAAACCCACAATTCAGGTAGCCATATCTCCTATATTCTAGTTTATAGACCCCCAAATCTGGTTGACAGAGTGTAGACTTACCATTCTGGTTGCCAGGCCCACTCTTCTAGAGTGAAGATCCACTATTCTAGAATGCAGACCCGCAATTCTGGTTGCCAGACCCACTATTCCAGATTGTAGACCCACCTTTCTGGTTTCCAGACTCACCCTTCTAGGGCGAAAATCCACCATTCTGGTTGCCAGACCCACTCTTCTAGAGTGTAGACGTACCATTCTGATTGCCAGACCCACTCTTCAAGGGTGCAGACCCACATTCATGTTGCAAGACCCACTTCTAGATTTCAGACCCACTATTCTAGCTGCCAGACTCACTTATAGATTGCAGACCCACCATTCCAGCTGACAGACCCACTCTTCTCAAGTGCAGATCCACCATTCTGGCTGGAAGACCCACTTTTAGATCGCAGACCTACCATTCTAGCCGCCAGACCAACTCTTCTCAAGTGTAGACCCACCACTCCGGTTGTCAGACCCACTCTTCAAGGGTGTACGTACACCCACCATTCTGGTTGCCAGACCAACTTCTAGATTGCAGACCCACCATTCCAGCTGCCAGACCCACTCTTCTCAAGTCCAGACCCACCACTCTGGTTGTCAGACCCACTCTTAAAGGGTGCAGACTCACCATTTAGCGGCCAGACCCACGCTTCTCAAGTGCAGACCCACCACTCTGGTTGCCGGACCCACTCTTCTAGAGTGAAGACTCATTATTCTCGAATGCAGATCCACAATTCTGTTGCTAGACCAACTTCTAGATTGCAGACCCACCATTCCAGCCGCAAGAACCACTCTTCTCAAGTGCAGACCCACCATTCTGGTTGTCAGACCCACTCTTCAAGGGTGTAGACCCACAATTCTGGTTAACAGACCCACTTCTAGATTGCATACCCACCATTCTAGCTGCCAGACCCACTATTCTCAAGTGCACACCCACCACTCTGGTTGTCAGACCACTCTTTAAGGGTACAGACCCATCATTCTGGTTGCCAGACCCACTTCTAGATTGCAGACACACCATTCTGGTTGCCAGACCCACTTCTAGATTGCAGACCCACCATTCTAGCGGCCAAATCCACTCTTCTCAAGTGCAGACCCACCACTCTAGGCAACAGGGGTGAATAATATCAACAAATAAAGATTGTTTAATTTTTTCAAAAAATTTCTCGTCATGTGACAACCCTTCCCAACCCCCCTCAACCCCTCCCCCCTAAAAAACTCATCGGATTTTTGCTTCCCGCGAACATGATTTTTTCTGAAAATTTTTGTCGAGCCAGATCTGTAAATCTATCAAATATGTAAAAAAAAACCTTGATGGGACTTATAAAAATAATATTGTTTAAATGTTTACAGGTAAAAATAAAGTTAACTTTATCACGAATCAAGCAACAGTGGTAGTAGGTAGTACCAAGCGAACCCAGTATTAACCTGACGTGCCGTGTGGAGGTCTAGTGGGCGGTGCTGAAGCTACATGTGGAGGTCTAGTGGGCGGTGCTGAAGCTACATGTGGGGGTCTAGTGGGCGGTGTTGAAGCTACATGTGGAGGTCTAGTTGGTGGTGTTGAAGCTCCATGTGGAGGCCTGGAGGGTGGTGTTTGTCGGTGCTCAGTGTCCACTTGGTCAGATCCACGACTACTCGTCTTAGCTCCTGATTCATCCTCAGAAACTGTTGGAGTTGATGTTCTGGAATTCTCTGAGTGGTCACTGGTTGATGGTCCTCCGACTCCTGAGATGGAAATTTAAGATTAACAAAAAAAGCATTCGGTTTTAAAGACCCCCGAAGTACATATTTAGACCCACGAATATATATATATACGAAACTGCTCATGAGTCATGATCAACTATCAACTATCTAATTTCTAAATCAAATCTATATTACATATTTAATTACATTTAATAACATTTGATCACTAAATCTAATTTCTATAATATATAGAAATAGTGGTCAAATGCAATTAAATATTTATAGTTTCAAGAAGGTACCTATATGTCAACTCACCTAGATGTCTATTCAAAGACTTTTTGATGAAGAGATTTTGCTGCTGTTTGAGCTCCTTCGGCATATCATCCTGAAATTTGTACTTGTTAAAATAAAGAATCTAAACATTCAAAATTAGAATTTAACGCTAAAACTGTAATCTGCACGCTAAATTTATCGTCAAAAACGGTGACTGAACAAAAAAGTGATTTGAAAAAGAGTATTCTGCTCTATACAAGTAATTTTGAATCATTCTACAAAACTAATAAGAAATTAGTAATCACTAATATATAATGTAGTACCGATCTACATAATAAGTTACCTGGTGTTCGCAGAATCTCTCTGAATAGTTAAACTTGTAGTTTTGTTAGTGCCTCATTTACTGGTTTGCGTTTACATTGCTAACTTTACGGAGTTTGGGTTACAATTTTGTTATTAAGCTCAATAAATGCAATGATTTAGTAAATATTCACAAAATTTAGTAAACTCTGTTACGAGTTAAGATTTGAGGATATTTTAGATTTTAAAATCAGGTTCATAATAACACGATTACAGTAAGAATGACAATAAAGTTGACAATGAAACTGGAGTTTTGTTACATTACATCATGTACTGCCGTCAAAAGATTCACCATGAAATTTAGATAGAACACGTTAATATTATATATTATGTGAACCGCACAACTGAAATATATATGCTAAGAACCTTGGTTACTAGGATACTAGGGTTACTAGGATACTATACCCTACCAGGGCCAGGGTACTATACCATTCAACCCAAAGTGGAAGAATATTAACTGAAAATTCAAAAAATCCAAAACGCAAACATCAATTCTATTATGTTTGCATGAAAAGTCAAAAGCATTAAAAATAAAGATTTTATTTGTTTCCTCAACAATTTGGTATGTTAACAGGGTGCATAACATTCCGGTTCCCTTGTCCGAGAGAATTTATAATTGCTAAGAAAAGATGGATGAAAGAGAATTAACAGTAACATTATAGGAGGTATCTCAGTATTAACCAACAGCAGTCATTCTAAACTCTCCATGTAGAGTTATCTAGTTATTCAAGAGTAGGGTTTACCGGGACTGGCTGATATATTGACTGGTTGATTGTAATACCATGCTTTTGACTTCAAGACAATTTATATTGTGCCTGTGGCACGGATGGTATGTGATATCTTATCTCTGACAACCACTGTGAGCACAAAACCGGCACTTTCTTAAGAATCCTTCGCCATTTTTCCCAGGCACTTCTGGTTCTATAAGAGGAAGCTCAAGTATCGCACAATGGCAGTTATATATATATATAAGGTACTGATTTTTCTAAAGAAACAATCCATTAAAACTGTTGTTAGGTTAAGAAGTAAACTAAAATTAAAGGATATTAATAATGAAATGATTTCTGGTGAAATTAAGCATATGCATCTCTAAATCATACAAATCGCCCCACAATTTCTCTACAATGATCCCTAAAAATTATAAGAATAATTCAATTTATAGAACAATATCATAAAAATTCAAAAAACAGCAGAAATTTTCAAACTTTCCATTGATAGTGGAGTTCATGAAAAATAAATTAAATAAGATCATAACGTAAACATTTTACCAATAACTGTGAAGGTACATAATTCAAGTGTCCAATTATAAGACCAACAATTTAGACCAACAATCAATCAGGCAGTGTATTGAGTAAAAATCCAATTTAAAGTAAGTAGGTAGATTATCAGGGAGGAGGAGGTGGTACCATGCTCTGGCCACCAGGAACTGCACTGGCAGCCTGCTGCTGCGCCATACAATACTGCATATACTGGGTGATTTGCTCAGGTGTCAAGGTGACTGTATCCCGACCCTCAATGGAAGCCTTTTGTACCATGGCAAACGTTCGAGCTAGATCTTGGTTTGTCTTATTCTGTTGTTCTATTTGCTGCTGTTGTTGTTGCTCTACAGCCTGTTGTTGCATTGCTGCCATTATGTGAGGTTGCTGCTGTTCTATAGACATGGGTGCCATCATGTACTGCATTTGTTGTCCAGGGAGAGCTTGTCCAGCTATGTAGCCCTGCAACTGAGCTTGTTGTTGTTGTTGTTGTAGCATCATGGGGTGAACTTGCTGTCCCATCTGTACTTGGTGTGCCATCATCTGTTGAGGCTGCTGGGCCATGAGTTGAGCCAAAGCTTGGCTCTGTTTCACTTTCATCTGCTGTAACATCTGCTGTTGCATCATTTGCTGTTGTTGAGCTTGTTGTAGCTGCTGCTGTTGCTGTTGCTGCTGTAAAGCACGTTGCTGCATGGCAGCCATCATGTAGATCTGCTGTTCTTGAGTAATAGCTTGCATGTGTGGACTGCCCATTTGTTGGAAATGTTGGGGAGTCATGCCTGGCATCATGGGAATAGAATGTTGGGCACCCATCATCATAATTGCAGGATTCTGTTCAACCATGTACTCTGAAGGATGAGTAGTTAATTCTCGAGTTGTAGGGTAATAAGCAGGTTTATAAGGTAAAAACAGCAGTATTAGTTTCGACTGAACCTGTTATCACACTATTTAAATGATACATAAATATAATAATTCATTCGTGACACTGACCTGGTGAGAAATGATATCCGTGTGGCATTCTCCCTGTATCTGGTCTGTAGTAACCGCCTCTTCCGTATGGGCTTTCTCTCCTTTTCTTCATCGGCCTGTCAAACAGCTTCAAAATGTAAATTTCAGCTTGTGAAGCATTATCATAATATCAGTCAGTTCAATAAAAACGAACTTTAACTGTCTTGATCCAAGTCTTTTGACCTGTCAAAGGACATTAATGATCATTTTGAAAAGACCTAAACTCGATGTATTTTCTAACCGTTTACTAATTTTGATTTCGCTTCTAACTCCACTGCATTTTTTATCAGGGGAAGTGCACACAGAGGAAATCTCTACCTTATTGGCAGTATCTTTTTGAACTTCTTCTGTACTCAAACATGCAGCAGGCTCGTCTGCAGCAACCTCTGTTAACATTGGTGAGTTTAAGTGACTTAAATCATTTGTACAAAACAATTTGTTTTCCTGAGAAAATGTTTCATCAAATGAAGATCAAATGAAGATCAACTGCTCTAATGCAATTTTTACTGACTTTTGGACAACCCTGCCATAGAAATATATATAATCTAACATTTCACAAATAAACGTATCTAAGTGTCACCCTCAATATTATCTGATTGAAATAGCAGCAAAACCTGAAGAGCTTTGAGAAGGTGTGGGAGGTAAGGTGGAAGGTGTGGGGGGAGGTAAGGTGGGAGGTTCCTGACTTGGTTCAGTGCCCTCTGGTTCTGCTACAGCACTTGTCTTTACCCCCGATTCATCTGTAGACATTGCTAGAGTGGATGTTTTTGAAGTAACTTCACTGAACTGAGCTGGTGCCTGGTGGTAGATACTACACATTTTTTATTTGATCTATTTAAAAACATTATTGCAATTAATTATACATTAACATGCAATGGTCCCACAATTTAATTTAATACTTTAAATAATAATAATAATTCTATACAGTTACATAATTGAAACAATTATATTTATGGCTCCTTATTGTGGCAGAGTATATTGTGTCTTTGTTGAAGTGTCCTGGTATAAAACTGATCTGAGTGACTGCATTAAAATAACTTAAGGAGAGGTTTCTTAAAACTTTAAATAATAATAATAATTCTATACAGTTACATAATTGAAACAATTATATTTATGGCTCCTTATTGTGGCAGAGTATGTGTCTTTGTTGAAGTGTCCTGGTATAAAACTTATCTGAGTGACTGCATTAAAATAACTTAAGGAGAGGTTTCTTAAAACTTTAAGACAATAGGGATAAATACTGGGACCTACTAAAATCAAAACAAAATGCAGCCACCTAATTTTTTGTTAAGCTTTCTCTTCTCCAATGATAAAGTAGTAAATTAAAGTAAAGTAAAGTTTATGACATCACATCATCACACATGTCTACAAAATATTATCGCACTATGTGAAAATATATATAATAAATATTTCCCCACCAACATTAATTATTTATCAAATACAATATTTTTTTAAAATGTATCAAAAACATTATCCTATTTTAAAAACTTCCCATACCAGTGGAATAAAGACTTATAAAACGCTTCTGCAAAAGTTGAAAGATAAGGTTCTTAGTTTTTAATTCATTTTTGAAGCTTTAATTTTTGTGTAGTCCATTTCCATTTACCTTGTGTATTTTATTTAGGTTATTTGATTCTCGATTGTTTGAGGCATTTTAGATCCCCGTGTGTTTAGTACTAATTAAACTAACCAACTTAATTCCTTTGTAGTAGGGTTGCCATTATCGGTACAATTCTTTTTATCGCGATAATCGATAATTTTTAATTATCGCGATAATATCGGTTATCGGCGATAAATTTGGCAAGATAATTGAAGTAATATTTGTCTGCACTCTGCGTACTTACATATTGTATTATGCTCCTATGCTATGTAACCTTGTAATATCATCGTTATATAGTAACAAAATGGCATAAAATGTAGAAAATCAACAATCAGCATATCTAACGAAGATTCATTGAAGTTACAAAATAGTTTATTCAAAAAAGTCTGCTGGCGTGGTACGATATAATATAATGAACGGCGTATTTCTTAGATAGTGTCAGTTTTCTGCCTGTTAGTTGTGAATAGGTCAATCTCCCGAGCAAGGGTATCTATCCTTGGTACCGAGTTGTCGAATGACCTGTAAGTCCTGATAAACAGTCGCCGTTTGTCTCTTACTACTTGAACAACCGCTGGTGCAGAGACTTAAAGTTACTTCGTGATAATTCTAGAACGTTACCAGCGATACAAAGTTAAGGTTCTTTCAATCTTTCTCTTAACATATCGTGTAAGTAGACTATCAACTTCAAGAAGAGATCAAAAAGTAGCAATTCTATCTTTTCCAGCTTCCAATAAACTGAAGAATCACTTCTGCATGAGCGAGATTTTTGTCTCTTTTACACAGAACTGATAATGTCTTTAACTAACTCAGTCTTTTCAGCATCCAGTTTTAGATTACCTAGCTCCAATTCAACCAAAACGTCGTTCACTGCATTGCAGTTATCACTCCAACATACTGCACAGTGAGCTCCAACGGTTTTTGCAGTCTTGTTGTAGTCTGAGTTCCTTTCTGTGCTTCAACAAACAACAATCACTACGTCTGAGCATACAACCTTCAAGTTCAATCCACCTACTTACTTAGATGCGATAACGCAACATTTAAATTTTCATTGCCACAAATTCATTCACAATACACACTACACAGCACGTCAGCATACCATCACACTGTAAATTATGCTAGCACTGGGGTTTTACTCTACAAACAAAGAAACAGATTAGAAAATCTGTGCCATTTTCCCCTAATAAAAAGTGGTTGATTATCGCGATAATTCTCGAAAATTATCGCGATAATCGATAACGATTTTTGGAGAATTATTGCCGATAATTATCGGCCGATAATATCGGCTGGCAACCCTACTTTGTAGCTAATGATTTAATTTAACGAAGTATACACTACATTTGCGTGTTTCACTGTCTAGCCCACCAACCATAATCTTTGAAAACCCTTCTTTGCCACATAAGGATGAAACCAAAGATAATCGTTATGTTTCTCTTTATTACTGACATAACTGGCTCCCTCAATTCTTACTAAAACTTCATTAGAAACATTTAAAAAAAGCAATACTTTGTAATACTTTTAGAAATCATATCTTTCTTAAATCCTTCTAATTTAATTTTAAAGCCTAAAACTGTCAGAGAGTTCTTGACGTCTGGAGGAAGTTTGTTCCAGTATGGAATAACTCGCTCCGAGAGAAAAGACTTCTGGATATTATTTATTTTAGTTAAACTTCTACTACATCTATTGCTTGAAACAAGATTAAGACCGGATCTGCCAGTTCAAAACATCCCCGATCCATAATCATTTAAACCACTTGTTACTTTAAAAGCTTCAATGAGGTCCCCATGTATTCGCTGCTCTGCCAGCGTTGTCAAATTGAGGATTTCCAATCTACAGCTGTAGGGAAGAGTACCCACCTCATCAATACACCAAATGGGCATTATATTTTATGAATTGTTTTACATCTTTTTATTCTGTAAAATGTGCTAAAATTAAATTTCTTGTTTCATTGAAATTTCTTGTTTCATTGAATAAGACGGGTAAACTGCCTCTGGACGCTCTCCAGCTCCAAAACAGTCCCCCAACTTCCATGAGCTGCAGGTGGATTCCACAATTGGACACAATACTCAAGATCAGATGAGGTCTTATTAAAGCTTTATATATAGTATATATTTCTCTAATAACTAAATTCCTTACAATCCATCAAACCATACGATTTGCCTTAGCGATACATGCTTTGATCTGTTTATTCCAAAGCAGAGAGCTATGGGTATAGGTATCCTCACAGTGATCCTCGTGCGATCCTCGTACGATCCTTGTGGGATCCTCGCGATGATACTAGGGGGTGCACGATAAAAATAAACTTGCTCGGATTTTAAAAATTTTTGTACCACTGTTTTCTAGAGACTGTGAGAATTTTCACAATACCAAATTTGTAATACCTTTTTGGAAAGATCAGTGATTTATTCGAATTGCATCATCGTGGGATGAGGAGAAAACCCTCGCGATACCCTCGCGAGGATGGAAATGTCCAATAATTTCATCGCGAGGAAATCATCCTGGTGGGAAATTGTGCACGATGATGATTTACCCTCGCGAGGATGGGTATTTGCGTGAGGATATGGAGGCAACATTCAACGTATTTATGGAAATCGTATCCTCGTGCCCATCCTCGTTCATCGTTCATTGGGCATGGAACAGGGGTGTAAATTGGTAGCTGCATTACCAATTAATTTAAGATCATCAGCAAATAACTTAATCTTATCCTTTACAAGGTCAGGCAAATCATTTATATACAGAATGAATAGGAGAGGGCCTAAAACTGACCCATGAGGAACACCAGAGCAGATGCGGATAAAACATGTTTAACCTCAGACCATTGTCCTTCTACACAAACCCTCATAATCCTGTCTGTCAGAAAATCTTTAATAACATCTAAAACCTTTCCTTTGACACCAAAGCCTTCCAATTTAGACAGAAGTCTAAAGTGGGGGACTGTGTCGAACGCCTTACTAAAATCAAAGTATAGAAGATTAACCGGGGCACCTTCATCTAAAATGTCAAGAATATCATTGAATGTCTCTAAAAGATTAGATAAGCACGATTTACCCTTAACAAATCCATGCTGATGCTTCGAAATTCGATGTCCTAGTTTAAATCTAATACATGATTGACTACAGAGGAACTATCTTTGGCGAGTATTAGGAATTTAGACCATTATAAATACATACTGTACTTTTAGTTTGCAAGGCATGTGGACTAAGTGGGTCGAGAGTACTCGACTTGAAAGTGGGTGTTGAGAATGTTCAACTAAACTAAAGATAATGATGTCCAGAAGATGAGGCATGGCAGTAGAGTGAGTAGTAGAGGCTAAAGTAATGCAACAAGGAGATGGGCGGAAGTAATGTCACAAGGAGATGGGCAGGAAGAGCACTATAATAATCATCGTCTCCAAAGCGTTGTTTGGAAGTCGTGGTGGAGAAATATTTATTATATATATTTTCACATGGTGCGATGATATTTTGTAGACATGTGTGATGATGTGATGTCATAAATTTTACTTTACTTTACTTTGAATGCGGGACAATTTTGAAAAACTTAACTACAGTACTAGCAAAACTGCACGTTTTGCTCTAGAAACACACCTTTTAGAGATTTTACCAACGTATCCTCTAAAATCATCAAATTTTTTCAATTTTAGGGTGGGAAGAGCATTTTTTGATGTAAGAGTGTTTCACGCTCCTGCTCCAACCAACGCCGCTAAACCAATTCCTATGATGTATTTGGCTCACGAGACTGAGAAGAAAAGAGCATATAATGCAAGGGTCCTAGAAGTGGAAAAAGCTACCTTTACACCTTTAGTTTTCTCCACAACAGGAGGCATGGGAGTCGAAGCGCAACGCTTGATTAAAAAGCTTGCACAAAAGATGGAATCTCCAACGGGTCAGCGTTATTCAGACTCAGTTACATATCTTAGAAAGCGCTTGCGCTTTGAGGTATTAAAGACAACGGTTATTTCGATAAGGGGGGACAGAGGGACCAAGTTGCGATATAAACCAGACAATATTGAAGATTTAGATTTAAATATTGAGCCCTTTGGCTAGAGAATACTTTCTTGAATATTTTCGATAGTTTTTAATATTGGTAATATTAATGAATTGTAATTGATTGATATGTAATATTTAGGCCCGTGGCCAGTTTTCACATCATCATTTTAGGGTGGGGACCACAAGGGGAGGGGGCACCAACAGGGGGTGCTTTTTCAGCAGGGGGGCGCCAACAGGCGATGTTACGCCACACTATACGGCAGTGTGCTAATGCCCTCGATTAACTGGGTGAACCGGCATTGGACAGCTTCCAGCTCAAGGATGATTCTCCAACTACCACGAGCAGCAGATGTATTCCACAACTGTACACAGTATTCAAGATGTGATCTTATCAAAGATTTATAAATTGCTAGAAAATAACAGTTTTATTTCTAATAATCAAGTTTCTGACTATCCGACATATCAATTGATTAGCTTTAGATATAGATTTGCTTCCCATTTCAATAAAATGACATGTGTGTAACAACACCCAAGTCCTCCTGCTCTGAGGTTTCTTAAATAAAACCATCCAGATCCAGGGAACATTTTAAATTAGGATTATCATCAAGATCTATAATGCATTTAGATGGGTTAAATCTAAGGAACCAAATACTTTCTCAGATTTCTCATTCATGTAAATCTTCAGTAACACTTTTACATTCATGTCAGCAGCATTACCAAACAATTTAAGGTCATCAGCTAAGGATCTTTTGGATAATAAATCTTTTTAGGATTCGTCTACATTACATTTACATTTTAGTTTACTGTCAACATGAAACATAATACTAAAAGTATTTTAAAGTTCGAGTATTTCAAAGTTTGAGCGTAAAGTATAATAACATATTACTCTAAAGTAAAACAAAATTTAAATTTTGTTGCGAGAAACAAATTATTTGATGTGTGGCTCGGATTATTTTCGAAACGAAATCAAAGTAAAGCTAAATGTTGAAAAAAGTTGGTATTGTTCAATTTTCATCAATACCAATCAACAATTTTTTGATTGAAGCATTTCCCGAGCAATTGCTTTTACCGAAGCTCTCGTGCTTGCAGTAGCGCGCGCCCGCGCGCAGAGTTTGTGAAGACTCAGATTTTACCTAACCATGTGCTTTCGCGCCACTGCAGGCGCGCTTGTTTCGCATGAACAATGAAGCGGGCGCGCGCCACTGCAAGCGCAAGGGCTGTGGATTTGCTCAAACCAGAGCCCTCTCGCTTGCAGTAGCGCGCGTCACGCAGTACGCGTAGACATTGTAGCGCGATGCACTACTAGGTCGCGCGCGCATCAAATAATGCTTCTGATCGCAACCACACGTATGCAGATCGGCGAAATGCGAAGGATTGACATCGTGAATCAAGCGTAGACACATGGCTATGTGAAGCTCTGGATAGAACAAACTCAGATCATTTGTCATGGCTATGTGAACTTTCCGAGTAAATTGAAAAATTTCTCGAGCGCGTGTGCGCGCACCATTTTATCACGTTTGCACACTCTAGTAGACCTTGTAGGTTTATAACTTAGACTTACCAAAACGCGCGCTGAGTTGGACTCGTCAACGTATAATATTTGAAACAAATATTTTACGAGTATCACCCGTTAATCTATATCGCTAATTGTGACCCAAGCAAACAGCATATAATAACAGCAAATTTTTAGCGCAATGCATGCCACAGAGCCGCACCAAGGATTTAAAAGGATTGACATTGTTAATCAACAATCAACAAAAATAGTAAATAATTTTTTTTAAATGAAAAAATATGTAACATATAAACTGACAAGCTAGTAATGTTTTTAAAAGTTAGTAATAAATTTGCGCCGCGTATTATGATTCTGCATTTCGAAGTTTAAGGATCAAGCTTTTGAAAGTTATTTTAAAACCAGCTCTTAAGATATTCATTTCACATAGCCATGTGCCTACGCGTACTGCGTGACGCGCTTGTTTCACATAACAAGTAGGATAGGCACATACAGATCAGCACACATAAGATGGTACGTGTGCGCGCGCGCAGTGCTGACAATTGCGTCGTATTTAACCCCGGGTGCACGTACATCGTGTGCGATTATTTATACTTAACGAAGGCTATAAATGCCTCTTGTTTATTTTAATTTGGTATTGTTCACTTTTAGACGATAAAATACAGGAATTGCGGTATAATAATACGAATAATTAAGATTGTACGATCAAAATACATCACGAAACAGTATCAACTACCTCGCTACTTATCAACTTATACTATGTACTATGCGACAAAGATACACAATGCAATATTTATATACTTATAGGATAAACGAAACACAGTATTCAGTATTTACTAGTACTACCCCGCTACTAGTAGTAGTATTACAACTTAATGCGACAAAGGTCAAAGATATTGTATAAAATATAACTAAATAAACAATACGGTGCCCATGCCTGAGCTTTATAAAACTGGAAACACTTCTCAGATTAATTATTTTGCTTCTCAAAAACAATTACAAACTAACAATTTTCGACGTTAAACAGCTACATTAAACATTAACATTACACTTCACAATCCGAAAGAAAGGGGCTCGTCGCTGCAGGCCTGACTTTGACTTGATCCTGAAAAAGTACATGTCATTTAGGTACCGCGACAATTGTGAATTGACCCCCCGACAATTGACCCCCTATGTAATTACACTGGGGTCAATTGTCGCGAAATCTAGGGTTTAGTACGACAATTGGCCCCCCGAAAATTGACCCACCGACAATTGACCCCCTACCTATGTAATTAAACTAGGGTCAATTGTCGCGAAATCTAGGACTTAGTACGACAATTGACCCCCATGTAATTACACTGGGTCAATTGATCGGGTTAGGGTCAGGGTCAGGGTCAGAGTCAGTGGTCAGGGTCAGGGTCCTGGATCAGGGTCCTGGATCAGGGTCAGGGTCAGGGTCAGGGTCAGGGTCAGGGTCAGGGTCAGGGTCAGGGTCAGGGTCCTGGATCAGGGTCCTGGATCAGGGTCCTGGATCAGGGTCAGGGTCAGGGTCAGGGTCAGGGTCAGGGTCAGGGTCAGGGTCAGGGTTAATTGTATTAAATTATATTGTCGGGGGTTAATTGTCTAGGGGTAAATTGTCGCCCACCCGTCATTTAATGTAATTACATAATACAATATAATACGTAATACAATGTAAATGTTGCTGTTACAAAATGTATAGCTAACATAAGCGAGCGTTCATGTATGACGTCAGCAGCCGAGGGAAAAGGGTATTTGGAAATGCTGCCGGTTGCTGACAGGAGGGGGAGGTATGAGCCTTGTTAACGTCAACAAAAATACGTGAATTCAAATCAATTTTATTAGCAATAAAACGTCACTAATTTCCTTAAAATTAGTACTCGAACTGAACTCTGGTGACCAACTGCTTAAATCAGTCACACACTAATTTTCCCTGCCTCATGCCTACTACTGGAAACTGTATCTCCAGACAAGTGTCAGACGTTACTATGCATTGGTTGCTCTTCAAAAAGGTTAGCAAAAAGATAAAGAGTGCGACCCTGATAAACTTTTGGGAGAGATTCATCGACGACATATTTGGAGTGTGGATGGGGACAGCGGGACAATTTACAATGTTTGTCGAATTGTTGAACAAACTGGCTAAATCAAACTGGCAGAACCATATAGAATCAAGGTTAACTTTTTAGACCTTACCTTGAACTTGGACTCAGAAAATCAGATCTGGTACAAGCTATTTAGAAAGGAAACAGATGCTAGGAACTACTTGAGATCAGATACATATATGTAGTTTCCAACCCCACCATGTGTAGAGGACCTGGGCGAACTAAAGGAGGATCTTGCCAGATGCGGACACAACAACAACGGTGACAAACTAGAAGAAATCGAGCCGAAAGCAATACAGAGGTCTATTGAGAACCCAGGAAATCCAACCAGAGACACTGAGGATAAGACATAACAGAGCCTCGTATTTTCCGTACAACACTCTTGATAACATTAGTCTTACAAAGTTGGTTAAGAACTTAATCTGGTCATTAAGCTACTAGGTTAATGTTATGTGGGGATGTACGGATAGTATTTGCCACTAGGAAACACCCTTCAATCGGTAATACACTAGAAAAGAATCGACAACTGGGACAACTGGAAACCCTTGATGTAGGACAATTACAGAGGTGTAATGGACCTAGCTGCAAAATTTGCCCCGTCCTCTTTGACAAGGACTCAAAAGATCATGGGGGGGGGGGGGGGGGGGGGCCAATGACTACCAATGGAGACTTTTGGGGACTAATGGGGACTAAAAATCATGCGGACTAGAGGTCAACTCGTTGACGTAATTCACCATTTGTCCCCATAAGTCCCCAGAATTTTTGACAGTTATTTATGGTTTTCAAGTTAGTTTAATAACGATACGATCGAGATGTTTTGTCCAAGATAAGAGTAGGGTAAATCTAAATGGGGACTAATGGAGACTTTTGGGGACTGAAAATCATCTAAATGGGGACTAATGGAGACTTTTGGGGACTAAAAATCATGGGGACTCGGGGTAAAATCGTTGACGTAATTCCCCAAGTCCCCAAAAGTAGTCATTGCCCCCCCCCCCCCCGATCATGGTCAACAACATAGAACTGGTGCTAGACGGAACTCTAAAATGCAAGGACAAGCATGTTATCTACCTTATTGGTCATAATTATCACGGACATTACTTTCACACTGAAGACCTCAGCGTGAATAATTATGTCCGTGAAAATAATGTCTGTGGTATTAAGGTCCGTGAATAATAAAGTCCGATAATTATTTCCATTAATTTTAGTGTGCGTCCCACATAGGCGTAGATATGTCTGTAGCCGATTACTATATTAGCTAATTAGTATACTAGGACAAATATAATCACTCCTCACTCCTCAGTCACATTCTAGAGTTCAGAAAAAGAGTAAAAAACTGAATATTAAAAACTGGAGTTATTTCAATTTTAAAGAAGTCATTTTGGCTAGTATCCCGAACCGAGATATTATATGTGCAATTTTTTTCATGGAAGCCTTTTTACTTAGTATCCACTACAGGCACGTAGCCAGGATTTTTCTTTGGGGGGCCCTTGGCGAGCGGAGCGAGCCGACCCGTTCAATCCAGCTGCACAACAAAATTTGTTGTTTTCTTGATTTTTTATGTATGGTGTAAAACAGTGTAGAGAAGTGTATGATCGAAGAATATTTCCAGATTTAAACATGTAACAATTGTTGTTTAAATGCTACCTGAAGCTGTTCAAATGAAATTGAACTGGGAGAATCGAGAAGATTACAAGTCACAGCTACGTACAACAATCAGGGTCAGGAATGAAAAGGGATACGTAGATAGAGTTCCTTATAACCCCTGACTACGACAGGGAGCTGAAGGCAGATCTGGGAGGGTCTGGGCACAATATTATATTGCTATTATATTATCATCTGCACACTTATACTTTAACTTAGCTTAAACTAATTACAACACTACAAATCCATTACATTTATTGAGGATATGAGTATGACGTAGTTATGTCGATACGTTATTCAACTATTTATTTCTATTAGAATCTGTCTTCACTAAGTCTATTTAGAGACAATCAGAAATTTGAATCATTTATCAAGACATTATACTTATACATCACAAAACCTCCGACTTGATTTACAACTTAACTTCACAAACACTAATCATATAATACAAACTTACTCTGTCGGTTATCATACTATAATTCAAGGCAACATAAGCGTCCGTGAATTGATCTCTGCAGGAGCCCTCCCTTACTAAAACTTGTGTCTTCATCTGCCGTATTACTTGGGAATATCGCCGGTCTCAGCTTCAAACATAAAGGTATGATATTTAATAGACGCCGCTCTGCAAACGTCACCTTATCACCTACCTGAAACAGATTTTAAGATAAGCAACTAAATAAAGATTTGTTGAGATTCTGAGTTTCTGCCCTGACGGCTAACCAAATAAAATTTGGTCGGACAGACTCATCTCGCATATTAGGAAAAGCAGCTGAGGTTTAAGATATTTACCTTCTTTCAGATTTCTTTTTTAGACTGAACTAAACTTTAAACAATAACCTCTGAATGATCTGAACAACTAACTTTAAGGACATCGATCCTAAGAAATGGCCGTTTTTAAAAGCTTTAAAAAATTTCAAAGGGTCTACACTTAATGTCAATAACGCGCGGCCGGCTGGCGCTAGATATTGTAAAAGGCTTACGATTTTTTCCTTTATTCATCAGAAAGTCAATGTGGCAGACATAAAGAGCTAAAACTCTGTCAAAGCTTCTAGATCAATCTTTCGATACTGTTTAGGCGGGAACTACAGGAGGTGCTATTTTCAGGTCCGTCTAGATCTCTGATAGGAAAAGTTAGTGGATCACTGGATCCGTCCCTGAAGTGAAACAAATGTTACTATCTTGCAAATGTTAACCATTTTATTTCGATTAGAATCGAATTTAACATACTTAAACTTGATATGATGTCATAATGAGGTACGTGTAAAAATCAAGGGTATCCCTCAAGCCAGTTCAGCTTGTGTAATATAACAAAATAAATAGGGAAAAATAAGGGAGAGTACCTGGTGCCATGCTGTGTGAACAGAAGCGCTGAGGATAAATTCAGTGAGCATTAGTTGGAAAGGATTGTCATCAGTTACTGTGTGAGTTAGTGTTGTGGTGGACGAAAGGATAAGCCGCTGATCAGGGATATAGGCCCCTCCTCACGAACTCTCTGCTGTGTTGGCGCAACGAGTGAGACTTTGGGGTGGTCAAAAGATGTGATGGTCCCGTCAAGTCTTGGCGAAACTCAACATAGGTCAGATAGGTAGAAAACAATGCCATTGGAAAACTCTATCCAATGCAATAGTCACATTATAGTCATTTCTAGAAAAAAAAAACCTGGTTAATGTTGTTTAATGTGAGAGAATAAGATAAAAGAGTCGACCAATTTTTGTCAGTGTAAATATTGTCAAACAGCGGGCTCCAAAATCGTCTAGGGGGAAAGAGCCCTGAATATCAGCTATCTGCCTTAGTACCTTGGCTCTAAAGTCTAAATTATGCAGCGATGACGACATAAAAAGTCGCTGTATCATGGCAAATCTTGCTTTGTCAGAACTAAAAGAAGGTTTAGGAGCAAAGTAAATATCAGACTTAAGATATGAAAGCACAGAAAGACTGAGTCAAATGTACAATTGTAGCTGCTGTCAGCTATTCTGCATCAAATAAAATATTAAGGGGCCATCTACTTAGGACGTCCAGCAAAAAGGGAGGGGGAGGTGGTTTCGGAATTTCGGACAAATCCGGACAGTGATAGGGAGTGGTTTCTGAAAATCCGGACGTCCGGAAATTTTGGCAGAATTAACGAAAAAGTCGCATTTATTTCAACTCTTTGACACTAATTACTCAGTAAGTTTAGATCCCTGTATTTTGAACGAGAAGTCGTTTCCCAGAGCAGCTCATGAGAGCCGAGACACAACTCGCATATTCTGCTACTGCCTTAAAACTTATTCCATTGGATGGCTACCTACTTAAGTACCTTAATGTAACTGTGCTAAACTTGTTCGACACTAAATGTATTATTGTCTATTCTAAGTGACTACACATTTTATTAACAATGAATTTGAGTTGGTTTTATTTGTACTCTTTAAAGTAGCTGGAAATCCGGACGTCCGGGGGAGGGGGTTTGAAAATTCGGACACACCCGGACAGGGGGAGGGGGTGCTCCCCGGGGGTGGTCTGAAAATCTGCAATTTTGACGGACGTCCCAAGTAGATGGCCCCTAAAGTCTAAACAAAAGTTCTCAAAACGTACACAACGAGAGAGTGTCGACCTACATGTCAATGAAACAGACTGTTTCACTGTTTGAGACAACACGTGTGTTTGCGCGCAATTCTGGAATAATCCGAGAGATGAACTGTAGCGAGTGTAACTTTAGTGTGCAGATGAGTGTGTACTTCGATGTATACTATTTCTGCACGTACAGGATCCTTTGTAAGGGGTCATTCACATATTTAGTTATCACTCACTTTGCTAACCAATACAGCAATACTGGGGTAGGTTCACTGATAGTGTTTCTCAGAGATATAGATGGCTGTAAATTATGCTAATAAATATATAAAAATAAATATGGTCAAATGTTAAACAATGAGATGATTTAAGAGAAGCAAATATTAGTGGACTGAAATTATAATCTGATAAAGTGCAGCTGTGAACTCAAATGTATAAAACAAACTCACAATTCGGATCGAACAGTTTAAAATGAAACACAATAAGACAGAGTAATTGGTAAAATGTTAAACAATAAGCTGTTTTAAGACAAGAAAATATTAGTCGACTGAAATTATGATCTGATAAAGTGCAATGTGAACTCAAATGTATAAAACAACAGATCGAACAGTATACAATAGTACATTTAACAAATGTACTATTGCAAATGACAAAAGTGTAATAAGGTAACTGGTAACAAGTCTGCTGGTTATTCAAAATTTAACATTAAAATATGTCCCGGCCCTTTGAATCATCCGCCGAATGATCAACTGAATGATTGCAACAGACAAAGAAACAAGCAAAATTTGTTAAATGGAGTGCATGATCAAAGAAGGTATATTAGCTCCCTACAAAAATCTAATCCAATGAGAAAATAAATCTAAAGTCCAATTGCAAATTGGAATGAAATGACAAAAGTGTAGTAAGGTAACTGCAGGTAACAAGTCTGCTGGTTATTGAGAATTTAACATTAAAATATGTCCCGGCCCTTTGAATCATCCGCCGAATGATCAACTGAATGATTGAAACAAACAAAGGAACAATAGTACAGGGAAATCCGTCTGAAAAAATCGATTTGCCGACACACAAAGCTTACAAAGGATTTTTGACGTTTTTGAGTCCTAATAGGTGTCCTTTATGGCTGACCAACTTTTCCAAACTTTTCCACGTGTCTTAAGGCCACTTTTTGCCACTTTACCACTTTTTACCACCTTTCTTGTTTGTCAAATATCTTTAGTTGTGAACATCGTAGAAAGTTGCAGATTAAACGAGGGTGTTCATATTATCAAGGAGAAAAACTTTTGTTGAGACAATTTTTTCCTCAGATAATCAATTAATTTGATAATTATCAATTAGCTAATTAGCAAAAATTAAACAATTTTTTATTGGCTCAAAATGATTGGAATAGCTTAAAACACGGAGAAAAGTAGTTTTTAGAAAAACTTCGAAAATTTTTCACTTACATTTTTTTTTCAAGACTTGGAAAAAAATTTCGAATTTTCGAAAATTTTTTTCGCCAAAAGTTATCAAATTGCATGAAACGTGGAGAAAAATGCTTAAAAAAAACTTCGTGAATTTTTGTTTTCAAGAATACTAAAATCACTTATATTTGTAGTTGGAGTTCAGTAAATCTCGGCAGATTTTAGTAATCAGGAATTATTAAATCGAAATAGATAAAAGGACTGAAACTGAAAAACGTTAACCACAGGATATTAGAGTTTTATAATTAATTACAGTATATCCTTATCGATTTTTACAGAAACTGCACCAAAGGCACATTTAAGATCGAGCCGATAGCCTGCTGTACTACGATAATATGTAATAAATAAAACATCTCTGAGTCTGTACCGTCAATCGTGCTAATCTGAACCAGCCTACCTGGATTACCATCTACCTCTTCTTTTCATCAACAATTAGACCGAGTTGTACAAGAAATGTGATTTATTATAGCTCTTAATAATTACATCACCCACCAAATGCAATATGAGTCATATCGCATTTGATGGGTCTGTAAATAATATCGAGCTGTTTTCAATCACACTATCACAATAAAACACAATACGTGTACATCATATGGCCCTTAATGCGGTATATGAAACGCTCTTTATCGGGGTGTTTCTATAAATCTATAGACTATACCGTACACTTCTCGTTTCTCCCGCGAAAGGCCGGTATAGAGAGGTTTTACTGTATCACGAAAACTTCTACTTGTCCTCATGGCTCATTGACAGCTCGAAGAAGGCAAGAAAACATCAGAAAGCCTAAAATGTCAACTCGCTCATTTTAATGTTCTTCGATCCGTCCCACATTGATCCCGAGCTTATCATCATGGCCCCCAAATATCCTGCGGCAAGAACCTGTCTTTTTACTTCACAACATCCGGATTGCAAACCAGCATAATCATTACCGTTTCTTTACTACCCCACGGCTCTTGCCCATGTCCGACGCTCGTATCTAGATCTTACCTTTGCCCGTATATTACTCTTTTTGAATTTAGCCAACCCTGACATATGGGGGTGATTTGAGGTATGAGGTATCTCGCATAGCGAATGAAGTGGTATGCAGAACAATAGAAAACAAGTCACAATAGATGTTGGAAGGTGTATTTACACTTGTTTCCTATTTCCTAGCTCTTCCTTGTTATCCATGGTCTCTTCTTGCCTTCTTCGAGCTGTAAATGAGCCATGAGGCCAAGTAGACGTTTTCGTGATAAACTATAGCGGGTCTATCGAGGTATAAAGCGTTTCATATACCGCATTAAGGGCCATTTAATACAAAGGTATTGTGTCGTATATTACTATTGTGAATGAATACAGCTCGATAAGTAGTAAGTACTTACATCACCCACTAAATGCAATATGAGCTATAATAAATCACATTTCTTGTACAACTCGGTCTAATTGTTGATGAAAAGAAGAGGTAGATGGTAATCCAGGTAGGCTGGTTCAGATTAGCACGATTGACGGTACAGACTCAGAGATGTTTTATTTATTACATATTATCGTAGTACAGCAGGCTATCGGCTCGATCTTAAATGTGCCTTTGGTGCAGTTTCTGTAAAAATCGATAAGGATATACTGTAATTAATTATAAAACTCTAATATCCTGTGGTTAACGTTTTTCAGTTTCAGTCCTTTTATCTATTTCGATTTAATAATTCCTGATTACTAAAATCTGCCGAGATTTACTGAACTCCAACTACAAATATAAGTGATTTTAGTATTCTTGAAAACAAAAATTCACGAAGTTTTTTTTAAGCATTTTTCTCCACGTTTCATGCAATTTGATAACTTTTGGCGAAAAAAATTTTCGAAAATTCGAAATTTTTTTCCAAGTCTTGAAAAAAAAATGTAAGTGAAAAATTTTCGAAGTTTTTCTAAAAACTACTTTTCTCCGTGTTTTAAGCTATTCCAATCATTTTGAGCCAATAAAAAATTTTTAAATTTTTGCTAATTAGCTAATTGATAATTATCCAATTAATTGATTATCTGAGGAAAAAATTGTCTCAACAAAAGTTTTTCTTCTTGATAATATGAACACCCTCGTTTAATCTGCAACTTTCTACGATGTTCACAACTAAAGATATTTGACAAACAAGAAAGGTGGTAAAAAGTGGTAAAGTGGCAAAAAGTGGCCTTAAGACACGTGGAAAAGTTTGGAAAAGTTGGTCAGCCATAAAGGACACCTATTAGGACTCAAAAACGTCAAAAATCCTTTGTAAGCTTTGTGTGTCGGCAAATCGATTTTTTCAGACGGATTTCCCTGTACTACAAGCAAAATTTGTTAAATGGAGTGCATGATCAAAGAAGGTATATTAGCTCCCTACAAAAATCTAATCCAATGAAAAAATAAATCCAAAGTCCAATTGCAAATGACAAAAGTGTAGTAAGGTAACTGGTAACAAGTCTGCTGGTTATTGAGAATTTAACATTAAAATATGTCCCGGCCCTTTGAATCATCCGCCGAATGATCAACCGAATGATTGCAACAGACAAAGAAACAAGCAAAATTTGTTCAGAATAAAACAAATATTCAGAATAAAACAAATATTATATTCAAATCTCTTTATTCAACAATATTAAATCATTATAGAACCTAATTTGTGGCTTGATCGTTATGTTAGGGCTATTCTGTTAGCTGATGCTGACAGGCACTGCATGGGGCAGAGACTTAGGACCATTACGCTGGAGGCTTACAATGACCCTTTTTGAACCCCATGGCAGTGCTAGTTTTATTATGGTACAAATTGTAAATCGAAGTTATGAAAACGATCAAGTCACTCCTGTTTTACACTATCAACAGCTACTTAAAACAACCTAGATTGTACAACTCACTTTGAAGATTAAACTGTTAAGTGATGAGTGATTGGGCTCATTAAACATTTTAGTAGCGGAGACATGCGGATCAGCTTCTTGAGGTTCTAATAGTTCATTCAGACAAGAAGTTTTACTTTTTCAAATTTAGTTGTTCAAGCTGCCTGAGTTCAGAAAGTTTGCTAAAGGGGCCCAGGTATTCTTGTCACCTTTACCCTGAGACGAGAGAAGTCGTTCAGTGCCAACATCTGACGGAATGAATTCCAAAGGCAACTAGATTTGTAAACGAAACTGTTTGAGGGCATGGTTGTTATAAGAAGAGTTTCTTTGCCGGGTCTTTTAGACAAACAGAAAAGTTCAAATAGTGCAATTGGTGTTCGATACTTTAAATCGATTACTTTAAAAAGTTCATTGCAGCAGTGATACGCGTATAAATTATGCAATGTCATGAGTGATTGACGGGCAAAAATTGGGTTGGTGTGCTCTCTCTCAAAGAATTTGCTAGTAAGTTTCTGTTCACTGATGGGTCTAGTCCTAGCACATGTCATAAATTTATCAAGGTATGCTTTTTTGTCACCAAAGTCCAAACATGATACGAACACACTTTTTCTGGGCTACAAATAGTGGTTGAAGTTTATTATTACTTGCACCTCCCCAAACGGTAATGCCATAAGATAGGTGACTTTCAAACAGTGTGTGGTACAGGTCCTTATGGATAGATGATGGAATTTTATCCTTAATCATGTATAGCCTCCCAGAACAGGACGAGAGTTTTCTAACTAGTTTGTCTCTATAGGGATTGAAAGTTAGGCCTTCGTCGACAATTACTCCCAGGAATTTCGTTTCCTGCACCTTTGAGAGAGGTAGGCCATTGAGGTAAAGTCTATTTTCAATTAATAAAGATTGATCATCAAGTTTTCTTTTAGCTGTATTGAATTCTATATAGCAACTTTTCTTGGCGTTAACATGTAATTTATTAGCCAATGTGTACTCGTGGACTGATCGTAGGACCCTATTAGCATTATTGTAGGCCTCTGCTCTAGTTTTGGCAACTACAAATATGTTTGTATCATCAGCAAATAAGACATAGCTAGTGTTATCGAGTTGAGAGTTTGTTAAGTCATTTATGTATATTAAAAACAGGAGAGGCCCAAGGCAGCTCCCCTGTGGAATGGAGTGCATGATCAAAGAAGGTATATTAGCTCCCTACAAAAATCTAATCCAATGAGAAAATAAATCTTAAGTCCAATTGCAAATGACAAAAGTGTAGCAAGGTAACTGGTAACAAGTCTGCTGGTTATTGAGAATTTAACATTAAAATATGTCCCGGCCCTTTGGAGCATCCGCCGAATGATCAACCGAATGATTGCAACAGACAAAGAAACAAGCAAAATTTGTTAAATGGAGTGCATGATCAAAGAAGGTATATTAGCTCCCTACAAAAATCTAATCCAATGAGAAAATAAATCTTAAGTCCAAATGCAAATGACAAAAGTGTAGCAAGGTAACTGGTAACAAGTCTGCTGGTTATTGAGAATTTAACATTAAAATATGTCCCGGCCCTTTTATTTATATGAAATGATGATATTTGGATCATCCGCCGAATGATCAACCGCCGAATGATCAACCGAATGATTGCAACAGATAAAGAAACAAGCAAAATTTGTTAAATGGAGTGCATGATCAAAGAAGGTATATTAGCTCCCTACAAAAATCTAATCCAATGAGAAAATAAATCTAAAGTCCAATTGCAAAAGACAAAAGTGTAGCAAGGTATAACTGCAGGTAACAAGTCTGCTGGTTATTGAGAATTTAACATTAAAATATGTCCCGGCCCTTTGAATCATCCGCCGAATTATCAACTGAATGATTGCAACAAACAAAGGAACAAGCAAAATTTGTTAAATGGAGTGCATGATCAAAGAAGGTATATTAGCTCTCTACAAAAATCAAATCCAATGAGAAAATATTGTTTTCCGATATTACAATCACAATCCACGGACATGACTAAAAATGACTGACACGTCCCGCGCGGCATCAGAAATATGGGAGGAAATCTGGCACCACGATTTGTGGTGCCAGTTGTGGCCATGGATAGAGCCCTCTTTGCCGCCTCCGGCGGTCGCGCGCTACTGCAAGCGAGAGGGCTCTGGTTAGAGCAAGATATTCATCAAAATGTACATATAAAAATTTAAAATTAACAGTTAAGAAAGCAGTTGCGAATAATTTTACCATCTATGATCTAAACCATTTTAAAGTTTCTTTTTCAAAATAACCTTGCTCCAGCTACTATGTACAAAGATAAAGCTTGTGCAAATATTCATTTTTATCAGCAGCTGGTTATAAAACGCCGCATCATTTTCCTGGGCATGGCATTTATGCTCCTTGCTACTTTTTGTTTGTACTTTATTGGGCCGCGCTCAGCCTGTCATTCCGCCGAATCTCTATTCGGCGGATGTTTATGAACATGATAGCCTGAGGTCCCCAGGTAAGTTTGTACTGTGAAGAACTGACATCAGCAATCACGAATAAACGTTTAATGAAATAAAGTGCTTACATCCCGCTATTATACATATGGATAGCTCATAGCAGCCGGTTCAAGTACCACTTCTTACTTTTGAGGCTGGCGTGCTTCCCTATTAAGAAACTTGAACCTAAATTTCATAAATATATACAGAAGAAGTGTAATCAGAATATTCTGAACTTATATTTTTGTTATACAGGAAGATGCCACAATTTTTGAAGGTTTCATTTTATGTAGGGTCATTGTGATATTGTGAGTTTACTTTTTGAATATTTTTATTTCTAAAATTTAGATGCTACAATTTAATAATCTATGGACATGGACATCATTCCAGTGGTTGCCAAAAAATGTTCTGTTTCTCTGTTCTATCTCAACGATCCTGATGTTTGGGTACTAGTAAATTACAATTTCTAAGTTGAGATGTTTCTCATTCTGTTTGTTTTTTCTATTGTTTATTGTTTAGTGCATTTTGCAGTTTTCACGGCTTCCAAATTTGAAATGAAAAGAAATATTAGATTGATAATATATACTTGAAATATTGAACTATTATTCATTTGACGATTGTGTTGCAAACAATTTACATTACGTGACTGCACATCCTGTCTATCGATAAATCCTACGTGAGAAGTTCGGATGATGTGATATTAGGCATCAAATGGAGCCATTTTGTGTAAAGCAAAGTCTCTCAGGACACTCTTCTTAAACTTTAAACTTGTTACCATTGACTAAAAGCTTTAAGCGGAACCAGAATGATAGACCTAACGCAGCAACATTTCAAGGATCTGGCCTATTACACTCAGGCAGACATAATGAGCTACAAAAATAAGATCTGGATTGACAGCATCGAAACAAATCTGCAATGCAGAACTGTCAGTAACAACAAGGAGACCAAGATACTTGGTGTGATCACAAAGATCAAAAACAGTGGGCTGCTCCTAGACAAAAACAACTTCTTATTCGGGCACAACACGAGTAAAAATCTGGACAGCCGAATAATGGACTACATTCACGGCAGCTCACCACTCTTTGCGAATATCCAAAAGATCATGGGTGGTGACAGTGGTGAGGCCTGTCGTTTCTGCAACAGCTTCGATGATTCTCCTGTACACCAGCTCCTATTGTGTCTGGAGGTGCAAGACACCAGTTACCTGCAGCTAAAAGAAGAGCTGGGTGGGGCTGACTCACATTCCTATCTAGATGAAGTGTTAACAAAAAGCAGCACACAAAAAGCATTCATTAGAAGAGTCGAATTTCTTTGGGGTCAAAATGATGCTCTCCAGGATTTATCCAACTAAACTAGAAAGATCATAAAATAAAGACTCTGCAAACATCTCAGAGAAATAACACCACCGTAAAGATTAAAGAGGGAGGATCCTGGACCCCGAAATCCACCACTTTTCTGTACTTTCAGAGGTACCAATGTGGCAGGAAACCAGGGCTCATGCTGCCGCTGAGCTAAAGCAGTAGAGGGGATGGCGGCTTCTCTAGGATCTAACACGTCCTGAAGCAGACCAACACTATGTCCCAACGCACTGGTGTTGGGATGTCTGCCCCCGGTGCCTGTCCGGGTCAATAAAGCAGTCAAGCATCATGTATGTTATGTTGAGCATTCTCAACCAACAAATGTGGGAACTCCCACAAAACACCAAAACAGATCTAAAGAGACACTTAACAACATTGGAAAAATAGACTGCAATTTGTTTATATAATTTATAAAGCGTATATTATTGCCCACGTTAAGGGGCCTGTTAATAATTTATTAAATTATTAGCTATTTTAGATTTAATAATAATAAGCTTTGTGAGACTGCACTATCCAATCGATAATTTAACCTAAATCAAAATACCATGAATTGATGTCCCCCTCCATTTCGTCACACAATACGTCTGTAACTTTTCCATTTTGTTGTACACTTATTGTTGAGTGTAAATTTCATGAACTCCCAATTATAATTAGATTAGAGATAATGCTTTATTATTTATTGCAATAATAATTTAACCCATCCTTAATCACTGGCATTAGCTGATGAATAATATTTGTGGTAAAGACATATCTGAACTAGCTTGAGATGTCAGTTAAACAAGTTCACATAGAGAGATCCTACTATCAGTCCACCACTGCCCTTGACTTCAAACCTTCCAAAAAGAGTGCCAAAGACATTTACATAGAGCTACTCGACAGGGCACTTCAAGCATTACAGTGAGTAGCACCCACTTAGATTATTATTTTGCTTTTTAAAACCCTTTCAAACTGTCAGATGATTCATGAAGTAAATGACATAATGTCTAGGTTTTCATATATCGAGATTTTTAATTAGAATTTAAAATCTTCTCAATTAAATCAGTTTCTTTAGAGAGGGGAAGCAGAGTGATGCTGAGAATGAAACTGGAAAAGACATCCGTCTGCAGTAAGTAAAGTGCTAAAATCGCATTTCTTTCAATACATTGCATGGTACTTCAAATACTAAAATTTTTGATATTTCATAAGCACATACTGAAAGGCATCTTAAACCAGATCTGTTGAATTAAGTTTCATCACTGCTGACTGCTGACTGCTGACTCCAGCCAATTGGAGAAATTTACTATGGCATAATTTGACTGAGCCCCCTCCCATTACTGCTTCAATTAAGATATGCCCAGTTGAGCTCGTTCTCTAAAGATGCACACAATGTCATTGCACTCATCAATTTGCAGTGAATATTACATTAAATGCAAGTACCACATGACCAGAATACTGTGCTGTTATTGGCTAGAGTTTAAACTGCGATTCAGCTGCCTGCACTACTTGTCAAGAGCTTACATAATATTACTCCAACTAGCATGCATTGCCAGATGTAAAGTGTTTATCTTTGTCTAATTACTCTGCAACTGATGTTGTACTGGTTGTACTCTTGTACTAATGACATTGAAAACCCTGGACATTGTACTTCAAGAGTGCACGTGACAAATACCTTAAAAATGATTAGATTAGTTATAGAGTTTAGATAACTTAGAAATGAAGGGATAAAATTAGTGAAATATCAAGTAATCACTTATCACCTTTTGAAATAAGATGTAAGAATCATCAAACCCTAAATTTAGATGTGACTTTGAACAATGATATCACTGACAACTCCAACTGCAGCCAATATTTCCTTTTAAAGCCAATTTACACGTTTTATTGGTCTTTCTGAGTCTTACATGTACAGCAAAAATAATTGTATAATTTGTTAAAGTTATGTGGATAGCTGAGATTAATTTTTCATCCTTCCCATAACAAAAGATGACCTCACTCTTCATAAGATGATGTCAGAACATGTGCTATGACGTCACACCGTACGTGATTTCTCAATTCTCATAAGTTATTATTTCAGTGCAAGTACCACAAATAATTTCAGTAATGTGGACTTGGCGCTGGAGAAGGTAGTACAACTTCACTACCACTACCACCTCAACACTAAACTAATGGCAGGTCAGTGTAAAGTCAGGGTAACGTTTTAAATGTTAGTTTAAACTTACTATTCATATTACTGTTGTCGTTATACTGTTAATTGTTATCAACTCTCTGTCATGATCTTAACTGTAAACTTTCTGAACCAGTGCAATGTCAATATTATCTGGCATGTTCTGTTTACTGCTTACTATTATCTCTCGCACGCCCTGATCACATGTGCAATGTGCATTGACGTAGTTCCAGAAGGGAGAAAGTCGTGCTTAACTTTCTGGTATATGTAATATGTATTAGATTTCTACGGTTATTGGTTATCTTATCTCCATGTGATTCTCCACGAAACTTGACAAATAGTAAATTCTTGAGAATTGAAAAACACTTATTTTGACTAGTGCTAGATAAGAATTGTGGCGACATTCCATGTTATTACAGATAAGAATAACAAGAACACTTTTCTGTCTTTTGAGTTCCCCAAAGTGTGTAATCTTATACCAAAATGTACATAAAGTGCAGTGTGTCGAAATCGACTACATTTTACAGATCAGACAATTTGTAGACAGGTATGAACTATTGGTTTGAGTAGTATAATCTAAAGTGAACATATCTGTTCTGGTAATCATAGTCTGTATCCAGTGCATCAACATGACCTGTACTTTTGTAGCCCAGTGTAAACTGTATAAACTGTATATACTTTATCATATTTTATTGAACTAAGGTGTAGTACTGCCAGATCCCAGTTCAATTTGTAACGGAGTTTTATATTAACAGGAAACGATGTAACAGAGTCGATATATTTTAATGTTGCCATGGGGTGGCAAGTCCCCATACATCGTGGTCCGGTAGTTTCATTGCGTCCTAATATACATATATTATATATAATATTAGACCAAAGACCGCTAAAAATTGATCTGCAATGTGCATATGTAAGGTATACATAGAACCTGAAATGTTAATCAAACAAAGTTTTCCGTCTCAAGTTTTCACGAAACTTTAAAGTCGGAAAAGTTATATATTTTAATTACCTCAAGGTCCTTGTTTTCACAAAAATTACTGGACTAGTGATAAAGCAGAATACAAACTGCAGGACACTTTTTCTTATCTTAATGCGATTTCTGAAATTTGATTATAAATGCTCTACATTCCTCAAGCATGTATAAAATGTGTAACTTAAAGCCGGCGATAAATTATCGAATTTTGTCTCACTTTAATCTAATATAATATACCTTTCATAAAACCCTCTTGCAAGTAATAAACGCAATTAATACATATAATAACATTTTAGGGGAAAAAACTCGTATTCAAAATCTCTCAATCTTCTAAGATTATCTAATACAGGTCCCAGTTTGAAATTAGTGTTCAGTAGCCCCTCCTTGGCTATCCCTGTGATTTAACAACACTATGCCCCTAATGTTTTATACTCTGACGCAATAACAGTGACAAGTTGAATAACAATTATAATGTTTAGCCTTTACACGCATCACACAATGAACTTTACAGTTTACACAGTCCTACTAACTGCTAACTGCATGTCACCCAGCCCCCCTCCTGCCTGACAAATTCCTAACATATTTCCACTGTGCTGCACACCAACGCGCTTTGCGGTCCTCCACTGTTTGTGAAACGGAAAAACGGAAAGCTACATAATATTATAATCATGTATAATTTGCAGTTTGAATACGGGGGCACTGCGATTAATTCGTGATAAGTTGACCACTAAAATTGTACTAGTCCCCTACTACGCCTACTGCGGTTAAACTAAAATAGATACCAAAACCGTGTTGACATGGAGTTGATAGTTGACCGGATATACTCGGAGATATCCAGATATACACAGAATCCTGGCTGAACAAGGCTAAAATGTTAGATTTAACAGCAGAGTCAGAGCATTGTCTTCTGCCTATTATCCTGCCAAAGTTATACCTTCCATAAAGAACTGTCATACATTGTTACCTTTCTAACACACATTATTACACTTAATTGAACCGTCAATGGCACGTGGGCGTGTGCCACCCGCTGATTGGCTAGATTCAGGTCACGTGAAGTGGTGCTGTATCCTGATTGGCTGAGTGGAGTTGTCATGACGGTTGTTAGATGTGTTGTGTGTGCTCTGTGTCCACATTATCCCTGAACCGTGACTACACATCCTGGATTATTGAAGATATTTAACTGAACTATCTCTAACTGGACTACTGGACTCTGTAGTATTTTATACTGTTTAAATGTTAGTCTCTGGAATTTGTCATGAGATTCCTTTTAAGAATTCAGAAGAATTTGTGTTTGTCGGAAATCATACAAAAATAGAATTCCTAAGATATCATGAATAACATGGTGTTTAGAGCAGGTTTTTAGATGAACACTGTTAACTATGACTGTGCATCAGTTCCTAAACGGAAGGGACAATGCCTTAGTATTTGACCCTATGACCGAACAACATGATACTGAACTGTAAATGACACAGGAACTAAATATATCGACCATGGTCCTACAAAGACCCAGGTCCTGCAAATAAAGATAAGGATTGATCTCGTCACACATGATATGTAATTACTGGAGGTCACTTGGGAATTTACCGTACTAATTTTAACACCAAGACTACTGGCGGGGCCCTGCAGTTTCCAGTAAATGGTAGGCCACCAGAGAAATGGTTTTAAAATGTGGAGATGTTATAAAATAATAATAATAATAATTTAATGTTATCAAATTGTAATGTTCACTAAAGTGTATTGAAATCTTCTGTAGATATGTTCAATGTAAAATGTAAATTAATTCGTCTACGTCCCTTTAAACTACAACAGTTATATACTGTATTTTGATTGTTTGTTCTTTGTCATGTCATTAAAACAGTGTGTTTTGTTGCTGATAACGGTGTGTTTTGATTGGCCACTTCTTGTCACGTGCTGTGAATACCTTGTCCTGATTGGTTACTTCCCTCAGGAGCTAACAACTTGTTGGGAGCCATCTCCAGCTCTCCTGCTGGCCGTGTGAGGACTATTCTGAACGAGCTGTCTCACGAGAAACATGAGGCTAGATACGTGAGTATATTTCACTTTTTCTTTTATATTTCACTATTATTTCACTATATTTCACACTATTAATATTGATACATAATAACTAGATTGTTTTCATATTCTAGTTTTAATCGCCGATAAAAAGAACCATTAATTATGTGAGTATGTTATGCAAGTCTCATGATAATGTCTACTATGTCTCATCATAAAGCTTAAACAACTTATATAACAAGTCTGAAGTCCCACATGATAAAGATTGTAACATGCCCCACATAAAGACTGTAACATACCCCACATAAAGATTGTAACATGCCCCACATAAAGATTGTAACATGCCCCACATATGATAAGCTTACAGATGCTCCACCTCAAGTTTTCCTTTTCCTATAATAATATTAGTCAGTGTTTGTTAAGCGTACTCAATACTCATCACATACAATGTAGCTAGCAGCAGAGTAGACTGCAATATAAGCTGTCTAACTCACAATGAAGTGAGTGCTAGGTCATCAGCATCACTTAGCTGTTACTACTACTGTTACAATGAGTAACTAATTATTAATATAATATTTAGACTCATATATACCTGTAAGTTTGTTTAGAGGACTGTACGTCCTGTTTGAGTCTCTCTTCCCAGTAATACTAATATGGTTTGAGTCTCTCTTCTCAGTAATGTTAAATGTGAGTGGAACGTTTCAGCATTATTGCCAGCAAAGGCGCTAATTTTATGAGAAAAGTTCTCTTTTTTCAGAAAGTTCAACGACTCAACGATGTCTATTTAAGATTGAAGTCTAACCATTACATGGTTACAAGATGTTGTAGCTAAGGCGCCAATTTTATGAGAAAAGTTCTCTTGTTTTTCATACATATTTGAAATTGAGGTCTAAGTACGAGGTGTAACTAACTAATTAGAGTTTTACATGAGTAGACTAGACTTTTGCCGTCCTCATTGCATTGTTGTTAAATGATAATCACAGAAGAGAATATCTTGTAACCATTACACAGTGCTCAACACTACATAGTTGTCTATTTATAGCTATGAGCTGTAGTGCCGTAAATGTGTGAAAATAGTCAAACTTGGCCTTGAGAAGGCTTTAGTGTGGGAGAACTTCTCTTACGGGAATGTAGAACTATTAATACGATCATAACAACATTGTACAGTTCCTCAAGTTTTGAGTTATAGTCGCCAAAAATGCTGCCAGAAGTATTAGATCACTTCTACCAAAACATTTGATTTTTGGCATTACTGTAAGATATTTGAAGACTATGCTCCCTATACTATAAAGTGATATAGAATGTGCGCTCTAAACCTAAATGTGCAGCTGTAAAGGTTCTGTAATAGATCAGTTCCGAGCAACGTCACCCATAATCCCTTTACACTTTACACCCTGACACCCTAAGTCATAGTCAATAGTTACTTACGGCACTTACCGTACTTACCGTTACTTACCGTGCCGATCTCTCCGATCACTTTGCAGATTGCACAGCATGTATTAACAGCTGTTCACTAAAGGAGATATTATCAATACACGCACCTGATCAATAGAGATAATATCTCCCAGTAAATGTGTCATGGAATGGCAGGGTGTATTTACCAAGGTTACTGCTCACAGTTATTAGTAGTTACCCTGCTATTTACTGTAACTTTATATAAAGCACAGGCATTGTTGTATAATAATCAGCTGATGGTTACGCTATCTTACCTTTACAGTTTACTGATAATATCTCTTCTAATATTTACCTCACTAGTAGTACATGTTAGTGTGGTACTGTGTTATGTGAAGCTCATCCTGTATAGGTAATAGTACAGAGCACCATTAAGCCAGTAATATAGTGGTTATATAGGTCCTTACTCTGGGACACAGTTTATCTGAACAGTTTATCTGTACACGCTGATTTCTGCACTGATAACTGTGTATCTGGTGGAGCTATTGTCAATATCAGATCTCTGATAGGTCCTATACTGGCTGTCATTATAACCCTGTCAACTTGTATGCAAACTTACTCTCTAATCACAGGGGCCTCTAATTACCATCATCTAATTAACCCCAATTAAGTAATTAACTGTACAGTCAGTGGTACAATGCTGCGAGATCAGGGTCCCCCGCCTCAGAGAGAGGTTCCTCACAACATTGATCACGTGACATTATACCCAGTATCACGTGACAGCCAGTTCTCTGACCACTGAGTATTATTATTATGGGGCTAATCTACACCGGAACTTATATACCGTATCAGACTGAGCTATACTACTGGAGACCAGTAGATCTGATGTTATCTCCTCTATAATATAGCTAACTACACGTTCTTTATCTCTGATGTATTGCCCCACATTCCTATATCACAGTACAGAGTGATGTAATACCCCCTTTGTGTAATACCCCTTGTGTACAATGTATTATAACACGGGTGTTAGTGCTCCCTTTGTGTCTCCTAGATTAACTTTTCATCACCTGGTAGAGAGAACAGAACCCCTCCTCCTCCTCATCCTCCTCATCCTCCTCCTCATCCTCCTCCTCCTCCTCCTCCTCCTCCTCCTCCTCCTCCACCTCCTCCTCCTCCTCCTCCTCCTCCTCCTCCTCCTCCTCCTCCTCCTTCTCCTCCTCCTCCTCCTCCTCCTCCTCCTCCTCCTCCTCCTCCTCCTCCTCCTCCTCCTCCTCCTCCCCTCCTTCCCCTCCTCCTCCTCCTCCCCTCTCAACTAATATTAGCTCCATGTTTCTTTGAACCACTGGACTGTTGAAAGGAGTTATATTGGGACAACCTGTGCTGTGTGTTATTAAAACTGTGTTCCTACACAAACTGTCTGGTAACAAACCAGCTAATTAATCACCACCCAATCTTGTGACCCCTTTAACTATGTAAGGAATGTTTGTTAATTATGAGAGGAATGTTTGATTAAGTCTCAGATCGTGCGGGCAGATTGACTAATTAGGTTTCAATTAGTTTGTAATTAGTGGCACGCTCAACTCAATATGTCAAAGTGTGTGAACTTCTGTTGTAGAGTTTGCGGTTAGTTCATCTCATAACCAGGAACTTAATGACAAATTATAACTTTTAATGAACACAGTGTGAACTTAACGACAAGTCAATCGTTACACGTGTGAGCGAAAATGTTATGTCTGCACGTGGGTGCAATCTGCAGATTTGCACTTTGCACGTGCGCTTTTGATCGGTCACTACTATTACAATTGGTATAATCTACCTGCTAGGCAGTATCTAGCTACCTTGGAAACAGACCACACTACAATATCTACCTCACCAGCTGCACTGTTATATTAGAGTAATAGAGCAGAGTGGTTCTCCATACTGTGCACTGATTGGTTGGTTTGTGTCACATGACACCAATACTCAAACCTGATTGGTTGCTGACATGCCAGTCTTGGCCCCCTCGGGGTCACCAACACCACCCGCCACAAATAAAGAATATTTTAAATACCCCCGACCCCCACTAAGCTAAAATAGAATTGATAAATATAACATGTCACGTGACACACCAATACTCTTACCTGTAAATGTAACATGTAACTACTCTGCTGATTGGTGGGAGGCTGATTGAAAATATGGGACCCACTTTATTTTCTCATTTAGCTGGGAAGTTCACTTGGTGGTGAAATGGAATTATGTACTGAACTTCAGGCTGCTCGATATTTTGTATTGTATACAACTTTTATTAAGCAATAACTGGGATTTGTAAATGTCGCTTCTAAGAATCTTTAGCTTCAAGTACGCTTAAGTCCAGTTCATATTTAATAAGTATAAGTTATAGTAGTAAGTATACAGTAGTAATTATAGTAGTAAGTATAAGTTGTAAGTTAAAGGTCAGTCTATCATTATTATATATGGCTATTAAACTATTACACTGTCTGGTTTAGTCTGCAAAACTTAGTAAACATAAAACTATATCTGTAGAATTTGTTATGACAGTTTATTGTGAAACTCTTAAACATAACTTTGAAAAAACGTGTCTTACATCATGAACTTCAAGTGTTGAAGGAAACCATCACTCATATCATTAATAATAAACTTACTATTAATATTACTGTTAATAATCACTTATATTTTATTTTTAGCTGTAACTCAATATCTGCACCACGCACAAACACAAACTCTGTTACAATCTCGCCTTCATTTTGAGTGATAACAAAACAGATCAACTCTCACTGCAAACACTTACAGTATAGTTATAGTATCTATTTGTAACAACTCATTACTTGTAACCCTGACAATAGAAAGACAATACTAAACGGTGGGAGCCGCATTGTCTACCTCTCCACAATAGATGACCAGTCTCTTGCTTTACCGATAGTACAAACCAAATTTGGACCTATATTGGAACTACTATTGTCGAGACATCACAGTTTGGCATCATGCCAGCCTCCATTTGTAATGTTCCTTTCTAAACAGTAAACACAGTGTATAATATACATTGTATATAATATGTTTACTCCGCTTTACATTCCGTACCTCACGTACTCTCATCAATATTTAAAAGAGCTCTCTCTTTTCAATGCCCTCAGGCAGGGAGCTGTGTTTGATAACGTACGCTCATTGGCTATGTTGAGGTGATACAGCTCTCTGATTGGTTCATAATAATCACGTGACTGCGGTGCTAGATTGTGATTGGCCGCATGTAATAAGTCCCCTCAGGACCCTCAATGTTGAGATAGAGACCTGGTCACGTGCAATGTCACGTGATTTGTAGTGTGTTGTTAGCCACGTTGTACAAGTTTCACAAAGACCTTTAAGAGTTTTAGTGTAGTTAAAATGCCCAAAATGAGATCTTGACTTATCAGAATTTAACACAGCTGAAATAAGACAACATACCCGAATTTAATATCACTTAGCTTGTACTCTACGATTCACGTACTTTAGTTCGACACGCACCATAGTTAGACAACTTAAGATCGCCAGATATCACCCTGTCGAACTTCGGTACGTGTCAAACTAGATATTTATATAGCGTACTATACAATCTATATCTATAAAACGGAGTACGAGTTTCCACGATAGTCTTTTATCTCTCCGCTAAGTCTACAATTCTGCTAACCAAAAATTGAGTCTGAGGTCAATTAAATGTTCATATAGGTATGGATTATAGAGTTCGGTACATTTTAGACCTCATTGGATACAGTAGAAGAAATGTGACAATGCACTTGATATTAGGACACAGCAGGGACAAAAGGATTTCGCGATTATTTTGGCCAAAAATCGCGATACCGCGATTTTTAACAGACTATACATTAAACTATACATAAAATTTGTCGCAAATAATGGGAAAAATCGCGATTCCGTACATGCCGCGATTTCCTTTCGTCCCTGGGACACAGTGAAACTATCTGACTACGAAGTACGATGCATGGGGACTTGCCACCCCATGGCAGCATTAAAATATATTGACTCTGTTACATCGTTTCCTCAATAAATGTAATAGATTTGTAGTGTTGTAATTAGTTCAAAACTTTAACCTAGAGGTGCAGATTAAATCAATATATCGTGCTCTACAGTTTACAATCTAGATATATAAAACGCAGTACGAGTTTCAAAACTCTAGTCCGACAGTCGAAGTTCTCTTGTCGAACTTGAGTGCGTGTACTGTAGTCTACCACTCCCATATCTTAGACATTCACTAAACTTATACTTATACAGTATACACAATCTTGCCAAATCCGCATACAAGATTATAAGATGCGTTTAGAAGGTTTGAGAGTTACAACCTCAGTACAACTGCGAACAGAGCGTCAAGCTTCACTTTACTCCATCTCACTATAAATAACCGTTACGAAACACATTTAACTGCAACACTTAATAAAGCTTAATAACTGTAAACAAAACCTCTACAGTCTACACGCTACCTTTCTGAAATATTTGGAGAGATGTTACCTAGTTTAACGGTGTCAAACTGGCAGGCAAATCAGAGGGTCTTGTTTAGGTCACGTGACATGAAGTGGCTAATCAGAGAGCTGCATTGTTGTTGTTCGGCTCCCGTGTGAGTCTCCAAGTGCGTATCCTGGAGGTTGACGTAAAGTTGTTCATAACCGAATTGGGGTTGTTGAATATTATTACAGTTCTTCATTACTTTATTTAGTATGGGAAAATATCATAAAAATCTTCACAAATTCCTTTTCAGAAATTGAACGGCTTGGAGTCTGAGTTTAAAGAATTCCTTGGATACCTACACATTGAGCCCAGAAGTAAGTTGTATTCATTATCTTATTATCTAACCCGGGTAATATCACGTTTTAAGACAATACCCGGGAAATTTAAACGGGCACGTGTAATCAAACCCCAGCTTACCGGGACCACAGCTCACAGAATATCCAGATTTATCACCTACCAATGAAAAACACCGTTTATATCAAGGAATATAAAATGAATGTGAGACAATCCATTATCTAGCGTTACCAGGTGATTACAACAGTATCCAGTACAACAATAATACTTACTAGATCATCCCATCTTCTCTCCTTCTCTACTGTGCTTGACATTTACGTATAATTACCTTGACCTCATTCAGCATGTTACTCTACGATTAGCAATTAAAACTGCGACTAGCCCAGCTTGCTACAAAACACTCTATAATATCTTTCTCTACTGTACAAAACACACATACACAGAATATATGCTGTATAATGCGTAATACACATTGTGTATTATTGGCCAGCCCATATTATTATTACATCATCTCTCTAATAGCGGGGTCATCTCGAAGTGCCCACTATTACAGCCCTATATCACCTTACACACACACACAGCTAGTTTCTCCTTGTCAGATCCGGATCCGGGCTGCAAGAACTCCGGAAACACTCCGCAAGCAGTCCGGAAACTTGTTGTGATTAGGTAATTGGGTAATGACGTGATTTGTTAATTACCAAGATCAAAGCGCACGTCGGACCGTGTCGCTAGTTATTGATGGGTAGTGTGGATGAGTCATGAGAGAATCTAACTGATGTTCCAGGTGTCTGAACGACCAAATACAAGGCCATTGCTCTGTCAATTTTCTGGTTAAGAGTGAAGATACCTTACCAAGTTTTGAGTTTAATTTATTTTCCTATGAGAGAGTATAAATGCACATTGAAACACAGAGCGGACGTATTTGTTGATGTCGGAAGCTTTGACTCGTGTCTAGTAATTAGTACTAACAGCGATGATTCCCCTCACGAACTACAGTTGTAACTAAGTTGTAAACCCCCTAATTAAAGGCCTGTAACTAACTAAAGGACTGTAAGCTCACATTTCATACCTCGTCTAGACTAATGGTGATGAAACATGGACGCTTTGTAACTGTGTGTGTTTTACACGTGTAACAGCGCCAAATATCATACTGGACAACTAAAAACATGTTTAGTTAACAGGTGTAATTTAGTATGTTAACACCACGTCTGACTTAATGTTTTGTATTTTAGTTGCCAAGTCGTCCGTAAACAGTTACTCGTAACTAACAGAGTTTGAGAAGAGTTCTGGCTTTTAAATGCTGAGTAGTAATTACAAAAACCGATTTTGAGTTGAGAAACGCTGTGTATGCCATGTTAACAAATGTATGTTTCAGGTTTGATTGGGCACGGTCGACTCTGTGGTGGTGATGTTTACGAGGTAAGACTTTCTCTTTCTCTTTCACAAGACCAGATTTTAATGAATTCATCATTCAAATATCAATTTTCCTGTTATTCTTCAACATAATTTGTTGATTGTTTTACGTATTATTATCAATAATCAAAACCTGTTACCTGTACTCATCAGTGCTCTGTTATTAAGTGTGCACTGTCTGTGTTTACTGTTTATCAAGTTTTCTTTGCATGTGTTACAAGAAGGAATGTTTAAAACCGGCACATTACTTGTCAATTAACTAATTATGAAATAACTGGTTACAAAAGCTAGATTGTCTTGTGGAATGGAATGTTGCGAACAATGACTGTCTGTCTGAGAAATTGTGTGTACTGGTTCGTGTTTTTCAGTCTTCAGCAATATAAGCAAAATCTGACCAAGAATTTTGTATAAGAAAGTGTGATTTTTCCAGGAACAATACTCAGATAAAACTTTTATTTAAGAGCAGGTCGGGCATTATTAATCTCACTTTCGAACGTCATATCATAATTTTCTACACATGCCTGATGTTTTGCTAGAAGTAGATACAATTATTGTAGATACTTCTAATCACACACATTCGACTGTTTCGATCTTACTTCAGAGTGATGCAATTGACGTGTTGTTGTATGTATAAAGTATATCTGTATTTACTCTGCAAGCATGAGTTATGTATAATGAATTAAGAAACCCCTCCTCTCAATTATACTCATTCGACAAATAACCTGGCAAAATAAACCAGGTCCTGCAAAGTCTCATTTTAATCAGTCTGAAGAAGTCTGATTACCGCCAATAAACTCTGTCTGATTTGGTGTAATTTAGCAAAGTCACGTATTAGCCAGGTTTACTACACTGGTTATTCTGGCCAGGTTTTATACAGGATGCAGCTGTCAGATGTCTAGACTGGAATAAAGACAATGTCTGTTTTCTGTCCGTGCTGCTGTAATCTGGTAATCTGAAAACTGAACAGCTGCAAGTTAATTACGCACAGCTATGTTTTCTTGAGTTATAATTGGTAAACAGAGAGAGATCAGCGCTGCATGGCCTCCCTACCGTGAGAAAGTTCAGTTCCTAATCACAAACACCCCAGATACTATTATTTTAATATAGCACAATCCCACAATATATCACTATATATCTGAGATTACTGATCTAACTTCTCCAACTTGCAGCTAAGGTTTCAACAGTCACGTGTCGTCTCCAAAACAAAGTCTTGCAATTCTTTACAATTTTTATTTTCAGTTTTTTCTGGAAATTGAGGATACTGCTCATGCTCAGTGCTCAGTATATAATATCAGAATTTGTAGTGCTTCCGGTATCACCGCTCAGGGTGACTGTGGCTACTCATCACCCTCCAAATAATGAACTACTTGTCATTTTCCAAATTTCCGGCAAGAAGAATCCAGCCCAGCAGTTAATGAATTGTGACACACTATATGCGAAATTTAGCAGGACCTTCCTCAGTAACATACCATTGCAACATTTGTGTGTCTCGGTATACTGCATACCTCTGCAAAGTTATCATCACTGTTAGCGTTAGTATAATTGTAAACTGCAGTGTTAAAATGTTGACGCATGTTCGATACAGTAGTAGTGTGGCTGTCATTTTTGCTGTTGGTGTTACGTAACTGGTACGTAAGGAACTGAAATACGTAACCATGGCAACAGGTGGCACATATAACCATGGCGACAATTATGACGCAGTGTTCATTTCCTGTATAACACCCTACTTTTAACTTAATTAAAGTAAGTATGGTTTAGGCGTTTTTCATGATGACAGTAATGTCAGAAATTATCATTAGGATACCATAGTGACTTGACAAAATTTTAAAGATTGTTTCCTACTATATATCGCATTATCATATCCATTGTCTCTATCACATTCCGATCATGTTTATGATCATCATATCGGAAAGTGGCAAATTCTGGAGAGGTCTGAACCCCAAATCCCTAACCCTCCATATCTTTGCAAAGTTATTGCCATTAGAAACAGCGGACTCATCCTCTGCAAAGTTATCATCACTAGAATTACAGCGAGAGGTAAGAGTGGCTCAGTGGCTGGCTGAATTATATAGTGCATACTACCTACTGGTGGCTGGTTGGTTAGGTCATATCCTGGTTGTGGCTTCAATACCACTGTCCATCTGCAAAGCTGTCCTGAATATTTAGTATTGTATGCAGAGTGTGGCAGAGAGAGAGAGAGAGGGAGATGTAGAAACTAGAAAGCTCGCTATTGGACCTTCTGTCTTCTGGAGAGATCTACAATGGGAGTTATTTTAACCGTTTGTGGGGAGGCGAGACGCGTATATTGTGTGTTTTACTGAGAGACAATAAACACTGCACATCTTGTCACATTAGTTGTGCTGTTCAGACCATTGACTACTGATTACAATCCAGCTTTGGCAAGATCTCATGTTGATTGCTGCAGCCAGATATAATGTAATGTTGGTGATGTAGGTAGTAATTTACACTTATCAACGAGACAAGTTGCAATTTCAGACAGTGTGCGGTCTACTACAAGCTGTTGTAATAGACATTATCATCTAAGAGGTGTGACGTTGACTGAGAAATAATGGACCGATCTATTGCATCTGTTACCAGAATAACTCTGTTGAGTGATATTTTTTAGAATTATTAACCTGCTTGCCGGTGGATGACGTTCTAGATGAAAAAGAAGAATTTCAGTAAATTGAAAAAAGAGAGTAAAAAGAGACACGGTCCAATTAACCTGATTAAATCTGAGGTGTAATTATAGATAAGTCTGGTGTTTTAGACAGTGTGATTGTAGGTGTTACCTCTATTCCAGTCACAGTGTGCACTACACTAATACACTATGTCATCTACATACCACGTGTCATACCACGTGACAGACTACAGTGTGTCACTTAACACCACGTGACACTCAAATACCTGGTTTTGTGACTGGAACCACCTTGTCGGGCCCAGCACTGAATACTGACATTGAGATAATACTTTTGTGTAAACTTGGTCCTCTCTCTAGATCAAACTGTTCCTTATTTCTCGGTTTACTTCGATGTAGAGATATGGACGTTGGGTTTTATTTCAAAGGGAAGTTTTGGAACAAGGGGCGTCAATTCTATATTTTGGACGGTATAAGAAAACTTTTATTCCTGTTTGAGGGTGGTATGTGGAAACGCTTTGCGACTAAGAAAGGGGATTTCACTGTTTTATCATCGTTGGGTAAAGGCCGCCGAAATACAACTCCTCTTTTCGGCAAAGCTCAATGAAAATCAAAGATGCCGATTTTGCTCTTGGGTTATGTTTCAAAGGAAGGTCTGAAGATATGAAGGCGTCAATTCTAGTTTTTGTGGTTGGTATAGGAAAAGCTTTAACTGTTCAAGGAATGAAGATACAATAGGTTAACGTTTACCGACAGACTTGGAATGTTTTTTGTTATTGTTGGCAGATTGTGAATTAAACTGTAAATAAACTAGCAAATGACGAGTTTCTTCCATCCTATTACAACACATTGATATTCGATTAAAGTTATAGTATCACTGCTATTTATAGTTTCTAAACTTATAAAATGAGAACTTTCCGTAACTCTAACCTCTCTTCTTTTAACAATAACAGGACTATATAATATATTGTTATTATTATTAAAGGTGTCATGATGACGGTTGAAAAGTGTGCTGTGTGCAAGTTTGGGTGTATTTTCTAAATAAGTTAGAGCTGTGTTATTAGCTAGTTCAGAGTCCGGTGCAGTAACCTAGGATATTGTGACAACTGCTGCACTCAGGGTGGCGTGGGCGAGGTTTCGCTCCTTATATGGTCATTGCTTCGTCAGAGATTTTCTCGGAAATTGGTGGAACATCTAAGCGTTTTGTAGCAGCTTGTGCGCGTGCGCTGACTCAGGATTTGAGGATTTAGTTGAGCTCCTGTAGTTGGTGAGATAAAATCAGTCACGTGACAGTGTGTCACACAGTGTGACACAACATCACACAGTGTGGGACTGTGTCACACACAGTTCGACACACACAGTTCGACAGTCTGACACACAGTGTGCTCACATACTGAGTTTCACGTTACTTCATGTGATTAGGTTCATATACCACACCGGAAAGCTGTTTAATAACATGAGAACAATGCAGCTGCCTTCTTCCATGAAATTACACTGTATTGCAAGAGGGGCAAGAAGTAATATCGTCAACATTAATCGCTCCATCCCCTACATTCTACAAGCTCCTTCCTTCCCAGTTCCCACTCCATTGAACATCGACATTCTGTTATGTGCTTTCTTCAGAGGTCTTATTTCTTGACTAGTCTGTTAGCAGGCATGTTAAGAGGAGTACGAGAGTTTTAAAAGCCTGACAAGATATGTAAAAAGAAGTGTTAAATAAGTGTCACGTGTCAAGTGGGAGGTTCTGGGAACAGCTATTCTCAGGAATTTGTACGTGCCTTATTTGACAGTCGGTGTAGTAGTGATATTGTCAAGGATTCACCTGTCTCAAGACGGGTAACTATGTGTAACAAGTGTAACATACCATAGTAAACTTAGAAATCTCGTTCATATCATTTCAAAGACTGGTCGTATTTAAACGGCCTTTAACTAGGTATTTAGGTACTAGAACTGTGTCTTAATCTACCTAAATCTACCTAAATCTACTGTGGCTAGATTCTAGGAGGCATATTACTGACCATATAATAGTAGGAATCTGGGAATCTCCCATTATACAGCCTGAACTTGTTATAACAAAGTCAGAGTGAAGCCCTGTTAGACACATTCCCACGCTGTTTTAACATGTCAACATTATTCGGTCCCTTCAGAGAAAGTCAGCAGTATTAACCTGAGTTAACCTGGTGACCTCAAGGTACTGTCATTTTACTGCGCACCTCGACTAAGATTAATTTAACACTATAATGTAAAACATGTCGTGCTGGACAGCTTGTTAAAGTTGAGGGAACTGTAACTAATTACAATACTTATTACTTAACCTTGTGTTTATCCAAATCTACATATATTTCGTTTTAAAGTACTAGTTATGGCAACATAAATGAAGTAATACGAGATAATATCTCGCCGAGATATGTCTACAGGCTATTTTGTCGTCTGATAGCATTCTAAGAACTACAAATCAGGATGATGTTATCTTTCCTACAGAACATGATGTAGTGATGTACAGACAGACAGTGAATGATATGACAGTGCTATTCTGATCTACAGAGAGACTATATCTGTCCTTCTAGACCGACAACCAGTCTTCAGACAGTTACTATCACGTGACTTATGTTTGTCAACTTGACGTAACTCATTACATGATCTTCTCTTGTTATAAATACACATATTATGTATTCAGACACAGACTGAAATGTTCCGTGATGGATAATTATTCTTCAGCTCTGTAAATATTACTTAGTACACTAGGAAATACACTCGGATGAAACACTGGCAGCTTTGTGCCCACGTGATAAAATGGAGGCATTTGATTGGTTGTGGTGAGCCACGTGCCTGTTAAACTACTTGCTGATTGGTTGCTGTGTAGAATACAGCTGTTTGGATGGAAGATCAGCGTCGTACAAACTGTCACTTGTCACTCTTTTATTTTCTCCAACCCCAATATAGTGCCCTGGAACAAGTTACAAAGTTACATCATGACAGTTTACCATTATTATATGAATATCATGATATAATTATTTAATATTGTGCATAATATTCAATAATATGTTAACATATATTTTTAGAATATCCCCAGTCCTTGTAAGGTGTTAATAATACCTGTATCTTCCTACACCTGTAGTGTATGACGTCATCATGACGTCACACATCGTAATCACAGCACCTCTTGAGTCCCCTGTACTACAATTAACTCACGATCCCCTAATAAACCGGACATGTCTAAAATACTGGTGAAATATTCAATACTACCGTGGTTTGACCGGCCTAGCACTGCCGCCGGCTATATATTATTTGGGTTGACAACTTGGACTGTTCCTCAATTTACAGCTACTCTCTCTCTCTCGCTCTCTCTCTCTCTCTCTCTTAAAATATAAAAATAACATAACCTCACCCTCTCTGCTGTGCAAAAGTGCTCCATTTTTAGCAGACTCCCCGGCTCTGTGACCGACACCACTGCCAACCTACCGCTAAATTCGTCTACAAAAAATTAGCATTAAATTCCTTTTCTCGGGCGGTCACGTGATCCCACATAATTGTCACGCGCCGTTTATCTTGCCTGACGATGTCTGCTTGTTTGTGTACTTGTGTGCTGAGACTCCCCACCAACAACACACTCCCCCTACTCACAGCGCCACACTTGAGGAATTTGTTCCGCCAGTCTGGAGACTTGATCTGTGAGATAGCAGTGGAGGTGCTAAACTTCGGTCAGAGCAAGTCTAAACAAGCCCAGCCCTGTCTTGTACACAAATTACTGAACAATTACTGCCCTGTTCTATGAAATTGATAAACACAGCCTCTAAGCTGCCCTTCTCCTGAATACTGTATGTGCTTTTTCAATTTCCCTGTCTTTATAAGTTCCTACTTCTGGGGTTATTCAAATTAGTTGACCTAGATACCGGTAGAAGCCCTAAACGGATCGTGTCTCAACTTGCTGGTCACTGAGTGTTATCCTAAATGTTACAGCGGTTCTAAGTAACATGCTAGGTGTGATGTTCTAGTGAGGGGCAAGGTTAAACCCGTCCAAAAACACAATAGAAGGGATCTAGATCTCTCTGTTAAATATGAGTGTAAAGTGTTTAAATTTGTAAGGAGGAAACTGTCCTCAGTTATAAACATTGTGCGGAAAGTGATAAGTAATGTGTTAACGATCCATTATATCATTATCTCATTATATAATGAGATAATGATTTGGTTATTCGTGTTTTGTGTACACATAAATAGCAGCAGACTTTAGTCTCTTTAGTGTCCAAGATCATCTTCACAGACTAACTCACAGATTTACCTGACAAACACAGATCTACACAGATTTACCTAGCTCACACTGGACTCACTAAACCCGTGTTTGCTATTCAGGAAGTCTCTTACCTGCTGGCTCGTATCCAGCTTGAGTGCTGAAACGCTGTGTTGAGTTGTGTATAATACTGTGGGTTGTCAGGTATTATAGAATAGGGAGAATTTATGGGGAAATATAAACCTTAACTACATGTTTAATTTGACTTGAGAGTTTAGACTCAAGATCTGCGTACTACTGAGTAAAGATGTGTATATAGTGCATTTATAGAGCATATAATATAGTATGTATAATGGAGGTTGTCCTGTAAATAATCTGAATTACATTTGACCTGAGACTGGAGTACTGTGCAGTGAGAGTTGTATACTTTCCTGCTATGTGCACTTTGTAAACTTGTGTATTTACTAAACTACAATGTAACTTAAGTGCTCGAATATACTTTGAGGTGATGATATTATAATGGTTTTAATTACCATGATTTAAGGGGCATTAATTAATATATTATGGGATAAATATAGTACAGTAATTATACAGTGGATAGTTTGGTACCATGACACTAAAGGTGGGGTTGATAGCTGATAACCCTAGGATCACTGCTGTACAATGTGCAGACTGCACTACTAATATATTATCGTGTATTCCTGTGTCATATTATGTAGTATTATGTCACTAACTGTATAATATTCCTGACTTGTTGATAAGCGTCATGGTATTAATCACAAGCCTCAAATTATTGTATTCTTTCAAACTGATAACAGCTTTTCCTGGACAAAGGGAGATGAGAATTGGATGTACGTAAGAAAAATATTCATAAAAATTTTACGTTTTTATTAATATTTGTTATTGGTATTTGGAACAAGCTAGAAAATTGTAATGAATCTGTTTTTGTATGTTTCCTGATAAATAAAGCCGGTTAAGCGAGGGGAGCGTCAAACTGCTAATAGTTAATATCTCTGCTAATTAAATCCTTACCGAAGCCTGACAAACACCTCAAAACCCACACACCTACACACATACACACACGCTGCATGGTTCATGAAACATTGTCAAATTTGGTACCCAATATTGGTACACGCCCTTAACGTGCCCTGCCGGAAATTTAGTTAAAACTTTAGACAGTGTTACGTGGTAGTTTAAGTCACGTGGTCTAAATCACGTGGTCAAGTGTTGAGAGTCTTTGTAAAGGTAGCTTGTTAGTTACTTCCTCAGAAGCAAAAAGTCAGAAAAGTGATAGTTTTGAACGGAGACGGTATAATGTTATATCGTACTCTGTTTTCCGGACAACAATTGTAGTTTTAAGGAAACCTACTCATGTAAACTGTTGACAGTTGAGTCATGTTTTGTGTGTAAGAAAACGTGCATTCTTGTGGTACACGCGTTTGTTGATGACAAATGTTTTATGTTTCTTTCCCACTCGTCATTGGTGTAAATCAGTTCGGCGTATTAATTGAAATACATCCAGTTTTGACCTATTATATACCAAAACCTCTTTGCTCTCTAATCGCGAATCCTCCAAAGTGTTTATGAGTAGGGTATCCCCCAATTTAACTCAAATATAGCTGTTATGTAGCTATATTGCCACCATTAGTCCATAATCGGAGGTGTGTTTCTCCCCCGCGTTAGCGGTCAGTATCTAACATCTTAACATGTTAAACCTTAACTACACCTCGCGTATTAATGTTGATGTGCACTGTACAGTTTTAACATGGCTCGTGTAGAAGTGTTAAACCCTCTGTGTGTTAAAACAAGTGTTATTTGCAGGTGACGGTTAAGAGCGGCACACAAAAGATAAAAACTCAGTGCAAGATCGACTCTTCTCTCAACCAGAAGTGGAAGGACACTCAGGTATTTTTCATTACTAACGTAAACTATGATGCCATTCGTTATGACGTTTTCCCACGGCTACTAGTATTAATGAGACAATGTGTCCTCCGGCGTGATCCAATCGTTTGCAGTGAAGTATTTTTAGGTTCAAATCTTTACCCCCCGCAGGCCCGCAGGAGAGAATTTTTCGTTGAAATAATATAGCACTCTTTATCATGGGACATAATGCGTCAATTTTGTTAGAATAACGGATTGCGCGAAGAGCATAAAATGATTAATCAGCGCGCATTATGTTTATTTCGCGTGCGCGCGCGTCCTTAATTCTAAATGCTGATGTGATTACGGCATTTAATTCATGTCACTCGTCTACCAATAACGGTCAAATTTGGCTGAAGCTTATTATAATTTTGTTATTGTTAAATACATTTTCATTATTTCCGTTGAACTTGAAATCAGTTGATAAATGTAGCTCTTCAACTGTCGTAGCTTCTTTGCTTCCAGCGATAAAACTTATCGCGGACGAAAGTCGATACCCCGATGAAGTAATAAAAAGATACAGTCTAGACATTACCCTTTCTCATCAAATCGCATTATGGCATATTCTGGGTCACTTTCGAGACTTACTCTGTTGAACCAGACGCCCCAGAAGATGACCTCAAAGTTCATCAAATTTGTTTGGTCCCTTATTTGTTTACTCAAACATCGCTAGGAGTCCTAACTTAATCTGTTTCAGAAATCATTGAACCTGAAGATAACGTATCACGAGCAAATAACCGTCAAGGTAAGACACTCAGTCTCATTTGTTTTATTTGATTTTGCAACTTTTGCAGACGGCTAAAACAATTACATCTTTATCTTGACCGTGCTTCACGGTTCACAGCTGTAGACCTTGGTCTTTGGGCAGTCAAATTAACTCCGATACACTGTCGCCATAATTCTGTTGAGTTAAAATTTGATGTTTACAGGTTATCGATAAGAGGAAATACGAACGGAACATCAACGTGGGAGAAGTTACGTTCAGTTTAATGAATTTGCTCTCCGTCAGACCCCTGGTACGTACAATTATCTAATTAATTATTTAATTAGTCGAAATTGGATATACCAGGTTTTTATTGTTTTGGTGACAATTTACAATTAGAGGTCGAATAAGTGAACAAAGAAAATCGTAAGATGACATTATTATTGATCTGAATTGTGAGAAGGCATAATTTTAAATTTACCGATTTGATTATTTTCCTTTTATAGTTACTTTTTTGGAAACGATAGAAATTGCAGAGTTGAGATATCAACTAAAAATTATAAACTAAAAACACTCTAACATCACTAAGCTAGTTGGTAAAATATAAATCGCAAATTTAAAAACTTAAAAGATGAAAAGTCGAAATATCACGGAATTTTAGTAATACTATGATATAATGTCATTGTTCATAATATATAGTTCAAGTATCTTGCCCCAATATCTTTAATGTAGTCCGTTTCCTTCTAATCCTTTTCCTTTCGTCATGACGTACACTGCATGATTAGGAATATCCTTGGTTATAACCCTAATCTCACCTTCCCCCCACCCTGCCTCACCTAACATCTGCTGAGCGAGCTCCACGCCCCAACACGCCCCCAGACCCACTCCACCACTGGACAAGGAAACTGACATACAGTGGTGTAGGGAGATGTTATAGAGAACCGCTGTGATGGGCTTCTTTGTCTGAGCTACCATGTCAGTTGAAGTGTCGATATCCAGCATTGTGACTATTCCGTTATCCTTCAGTACTCCTTTTAGTCCCTTCATTGCCAGGGCAGGGTGGGGTAGATCGTGCATGCAGTCGAATATCATCACGTAGTCAAAATTGTTGGTCCATTCCGGTTTTAGGTTGCAGAAATCTCCTGTGACAAAGTCGATATTTTCTATTCCAAGTTTCTCCGCTTCAACCTTGTTGAGCTCAATGGCCTCCTCGTCAATATCAAAAGAAGTGAAGGAACTGTTCGGGTACCTCTTTGCCACGCCCATAGCATGTCTTCCTCTTCCACACCCTGGCTCCAATACTTTAATACCCTTCTCCAGTGCCTCATGGACTCCATCTCCCACCATCTTCATGTAACCTTCCGGAAAGTTCTGATTCTCATTCCTGCAGTGACTCCAGCCTGCCATCCAGTCCTGGAAGTTAGGATACTGGTTGTAGCCCACACCAAGAGGACCACCCTTCTTAAAACACGCTCCTATCTCCGGCTCTTTATCCATGGTGAACTCCAAAGAGGTGAAGAAGTGAAGTACTTCAGAGGAGGGTAGAAGGGTAGTTGCCACGTCACTGTCACATGACACTATCATTCCTTCTTCAAGTGTTAGCACGCCTGCTGAGGCTAGCACACCCACCCACTCCCTCACCCACCTCTCCTTGCAATCTGCTGCATCGCACAGCTCGGGGATGGTCCACTTTCTGTCCGGGTGCTCGTGTAATGTTGCCCATAATCCCGCGTAGTGTCCGGCAATTATCGCAGAGCCTGCATGTGCGCCGACTAGAAGTGGGGCTAGTTTATCCATGTTGCTAAAGAAGATACATGTAGTTAGTTTTATAGCATTAGAAATAAAAATATTGACATTACATAGATGAAAAGAGTAAGGACTACATCGAGACTCAAGAGTTTGAAAAGGAAAAAAAGTGTAGCGTAAAATTTGAGGATTCCGCTCAAATTGATGGCAGCAGATGTTTTAAAAGCTGACCGTACAATACCTAATTAATCAAATATGAGAATTGTGAAATTCAACGCTTAATTCAGAGAAAACACTGAAAACACATGTGTGTAATCAGTGTAGCTTGTGTTGCAAATATCGAGCTCTCTTATCTTTTGTAAATTTGCAATAAGTTCAGTTTGCTGCTACCGCGTAGTTTACCTTTGCGTGTGTACTTGTACATTACTATACAAGTACACTATGGCGGATGACCCAACTTTGACCCGATCCCAGGAGTTGATTAAGGAGTTCAACTATGATCAACAGGAAGATGTGGAAGGCTGTGTTGCACGCTGGTCCATTCAGTTAGAAAAAGACCTGCATATTGACTACCGTGAAATTGACTACGAAAGTCGTGAAAAGATCAAGACTAAGGATAAACTGACTCTGTCTGGCTGGATTGTGGATGCAGTGGACCTTGTTCGTCGGCAGAGTAGTCAGATGTATCTCTTGAAGGAGATCATCGAGTGCTTCAAGACGGAAGCACTAGCAGACAAAGAAAAGGTGATCAGACTGCAGGGCCAGCTGCTGATGCAGAAGGACGAACAACTACAGTTGCTTAAGACGTCTGTTGAGGAGACAGTACAAACAACGGTGGAGTCTGGGATTCAGAACTATAGTGCAGCTGTTCAACAGAACAGTGCAAGTGGTACGGTCTGTAACAGTAAAATCCTGAAGAAGGTGATGAAGAGTGTGGCTGCAGAGGAGGACAGGAGCAAGAACCTGATCGTGTTTGGGCTGAAAGAAGAGGAGGAAGAACAGCTTCCAGCGCTAGTTACCGCAGTTTTGGAGGAGATCGGGGAGAAACCTCACTTCGAAGCGACTAGAGTCGGTTGGAAGAGGCCAGGTAGTACGGCTATCCGACCAGTCAAGATCACCGTCCCAAGCTCAACAGCGGTTCATCAGATTCTGATGAAAACAGGGAGACTGAGGGAGACGCACAAAGATGTATGGATATGTCCAGACAGATCCAGCGAAGAACGAGCAACAAGGAAGCATCTGGTCACTGACCTGAAGAAAAAGAGGGCTGAACAGACTCATCTCGACCACTACATCCGGTACGGGAAGGTATGTAGCCGTGATAAGAAGTCATCATGAGTTATTCATGTCTCTTGGACACTGATCAGTATATGAAGGAGTGATGATTATTTTAAGAATTTTCAGACGTTATCTGTATTTAAAAGACAACTATATATATTGAATATTTTATTATTTGATTGTTTCACACTTTTCATATTTCATAATTTTATTACTAGGTGGAGGTGATGTTATTGAGACTTTGGGCGGCCATAAAACTCCTGTTTTGAAAGTTGTCCTCTGTACTTGTTTCACTGACCCACGCTTTATAGCATTTATACATTTCGGCCCATTTTATATGTTTGTTCGATTTGCTGTACATTTGTATATTTGCTATTTTGTAAAAGTTTCAAATCAAATCATAACCGTGTTATTTAGCAATTTTTATTTCGGCGAGCACTCTGACGAAGGAAAACAAACTGTTGAAGGACGAATGTACTAGCATTGCGTTACACAGTCCGTTAGATTCGCAAGAATTCAGGAAGCTTATAAAAGGATCAACTGGCGTTACTAGCACTGTATGGCCCTGCAAATGACAAACTTACATAAGTTACATTAGTTATGTAACACGATAGTGATGAAATCAATAATAATAATAATAATAATAGGATTATGGCCACATGGCCATCTCGACAAAACTTGAAACCCAACTGCACTCTACGCTATTGCAGTTCGCACAATATTATCAAAAAGAAAAATGTTCCTATCCGGAACATTTAATGATTAATTATTTTTAGGACGTTAACATGTAGTTCTGAATTTAACAATCAAGAAACATTGATTCCTCGGTATTTAGCAATCAATGGGTTATTAGACATGAAATGTGCATATGAATCATGCTCACATGTATTTATTTTTGACATCAAGGTTTCGCTGAGATCCCAGAAGTGACCCTTTGACGATGCTCCACTCGCTATCAGTTCATTTTTATAACATTGAAGTCGAGCTTTGAATGCGTTTACTGAACTGGCTTCTTTAACCGAACTTGGTACTTTGTTCCAGTAATTGGCAACACGGTTACTGAGGACCTGATTTCCTCTTTTATCTTTTAGGATCTTGGTACCGCTACGTGATATCCTGAAAAGATCTTGTCCATAGTCCACTTTACCCGTCGTTATTTTAAAGGTTTCAATAAGATCACCCCTCATACGGCGCTCCAGTAGTGTTGTTAACTGGAGGATTCTCAGTCTCTCATCGTATGGTAGGATACCAATCCCGTCGATTATTCGTGTAAATTCTCTCTGAACGTCTTCTATCTTCTTAATAGTCCTCCAGTTTCCGTGCTCTGCTGGTAGATTCCACACTTGCACAGCGTATTCGATGTGAGGTCGAACTAGAGTTCTGTAGACATTTAGCATAACAAATTTGTTACGGCAGATCAAACTTCGTTTGATCCAGCCTATAACAGACTTTGCTTTTTTCACGGACTTATCTATATGATCACTCCAGTCCAAGTTTCTGGTAGTTAGAACTCCAAGATCCTTTTCTGCCTTCACTTGGGGGAGGCGTTCCCCATTCATGAAGTACTCGTGCATTGGATTGTTACGCCCAATATGTAGTACCTTACACTTGCCATCCTTCACATTGAATCTTAGGAGCCATTCCTTCTCCCACGCATTGAGTTTCAGTATATCATCTTGTGCAACACTGTGCTTAGCTGTGCTCGTTACTAGCTTAAGATCGTCCGCAAAGAGTGATACGAAGCTCTCAATTCCATCAGGGAGATCATTTATGAAGAGCAGGAAGAGCAGGGGGCCCAGCACGGTTCCTTGAGGGACCCCAGATGTTACAGCAAACACTCTAGAAAATGATGATCCAACCCTGACGCGAAATGTTCTTCCTGTTAGAAAGTCTTCCACGACTGCAAGGGTGTTGCCAGATATTCCAAAGGATTGTAATTTTCTCAGCAATCGTTTGTGTGGTACAGAATCGAAAGCCTTCTGAAAATCGAGATACAGTATATCAGCTGACCCGTCCTTCTCTAGTATCTCACTGACAATGTCCATACATTCCAGTAGGTTCGAGACGCAGGATCTTTTTGGTAGGAAACCGTGTTGTTCATTCACAATCATGGGGGATACGTGAGCTAGAATATGGTTCCTTAAAAACCTCTCAAAGATCTTGGAAAGAACGCACGTTAGGCTAATAGGGCGATAATTGCTGGCTTGGGATTTATCCCCCTTTTTATGCAATGCAGTGACATTTGCCTGCTTCCAGATTTCGGGAATCTTTCCCTCGTTGTAGCATTTTTGGAACAGTGCTGTGACTGAATCAGCAAACTGTTTGTTTTCGGCTAGTGTTTTCAAAAGCTTGGGGTGTATATCATCAGGTCCAACGGACTTCCAGATGTTAACTTTACGAAGTTGATCTTGAACTTCACTTGTATTGAATTTCAGGTCAGGAATCGTCTCCTTTGCGCTGTCTCCGGGTAGTGGGTCAGGTATTGAGGCCTGATCCTCCTTTACAAACGTGCTCTCAAAGAAAATCCCAAGAAAATCCCAAGTCAATAATAATATCCTGTAGAATATTCCGTAGATTATTCTCGTTTCAAAAAAATTAAATCTAATTTGCGACAAGATTTTCCCCCTTTCTCATCAAATCGCATTATGGCATATTCTGGGTCACTTTCGAGACTTACTCTGTCCCATATCCACATAATTACAAATTTCCTCCCAAACCCATTTTCAGACCCTTCTGTGGCCCGCTCGCTTCGCTCGCAGCGGCTAAGTTACTTTTCCAACAGGGGCGTGCACAGGATTTTTAAAAGGGGTGGGCGAGGAGTCGGCGCGAAGCGCCGGCTCCGAGGCTACTGCGGCAGGGGCTTGGGGGCGCAGCCCCCGGAAAATTTTAACTGGATTATATGCTAAACCAATAGGATATCAATACAGAAGGTTCAAAACAATTGATTAGACACTCGGTTATTAGTAATATTTTAAGGGGGCGCAGAATCCGGAAAATTTTTAACTGGATTATATGATAGACAGTTGATTAGACACAAGTGGTTATAAGTAATATTTTAAGGGGGCAGGGGGCGCAGCCCCTGAAAATGTTTAACTGCATTATATGATAAACCAATAGGATATCAATACAGAAGGTTCAAAACAATTGATTAGACACTCGGTTATTAGTAATATTTTAAGGGGGCGCAGAATCCGGAAAATTTTTAACTGGATTATATGATAGACCAATAGGATCAATAGAGAAGGTTCAAAGTAGTTGATTAGACACTCGGTAATATTTTGGATTCAAAACATTGGACAAATTAAATTAAAGATGGCACGAATTTTAAGTCATTTAGAGAGGAAAAATTTCCTCTCGATACCCAATGATTGAACTGCTCTTTGCGGACTGCAATTGTCAGTCGCTAACCAAGAAATTTCCTCACAGATGCCAAAAATTTCCTCATTCTTCCCAAATTTCCTCCCAGATATCTGTTGGGTTTGCCAACTTTGTGGATATGGGTACTCTGTTGAACCAGACACCGCAAGAATTCAGAAAGCTTATAAAAGGATCAACTGGCGTTACAAGCACTGTATCGGCCCTACCGATTCTATTCTATTTTATAATTACTTCTTTGGACACGATAGAAATTGCAGGGTTGAGATATCAACTAACAAGAATTTCGTCGCGGTAAAACCACGTACGATCAAATTTCCCTACTGCATACAATGTAATTATCGCAGAGACTGCGTGTGCGCCGACTAGAAGTGGTGCTAGTTTATCCATGTTGCTAAAGAAGATACATGTAGTTAGTTTTATAGCATTAGAAATAAAAATATTGACATTAAATAGATGAAAAGAGTAAGGACTTCATCGAGACTCGAGAGTTTGAAAATGAAAAAAAGTGTAGCGTAAAATTTGAGGATTCCGCTCAAATTGATGGCAGCAGATGTTTTAAAAGCTGACCGTACAATTATACCTCATTAATCAAATATGAGAATTGTGAAATTCAACGCTTAATTCAGAGAAAACGATATTAAATAACCGTGTTATTTAGCAATTTTTATTTCGGCGAGCACTCTGAGTCTGACGAAGGAAAACAAACTGTTGAAGGTACTAGCATTGCGTTAGATTCGCAAGAATTCAGGAAGCTTATAAAAGGATCAACTGGCGTTACTAGCACTGTATGGCCCTGCAAATGACAAACTTACATAAGTTACATAAGTTATGTAACACGATAATGATGAAATTAATAATAATATCCTGTAGAACATTCCGTAGATTATTCTCGTTTCAAAAAAATTAAATCTTATTTGCGACAAGATTTTTCCTGCAGCTTTTCAATTTTTCCAAACAATCCACCGGAGTGTTGTCAGAAAAATTAAACAGTAATTAATACTAAAATCACGACTAATCATTTTAAAGATGCGAGAGCTAATAAAGGTTGGTTCCAAGAAATCAAAAAAAGAATTGACAATGTTAAACCTTAAATGAGAAGTATGGACCCGTAAAATACGTATGCATGAGTGATGAGAGAATGAAAGTAAACTGTCTTAAATAAACAAGTCCAAGAGTTGAATCAAGACTGGAATCAAGAAGGAAAACTTCCTCAAGTTCGATTAAATTTGATATTCCAAACCTTCTAGAATATAGAAATATGCCTTCTATTCTTACTTTCTTAGTTCTTTGGCTTTCTAAAGCCTTCTGCAGCTTCCTGTAAATATGAATACTGAATGATATTCAGTGAATATGTTAAAGTCCCTCTTAGTCCCTACAAGAATGGTGAGGTGTCTAGACATCTCTCGGACAAATTAAAATTCTTATATTATGCAAAAATAAATAATAAACAAGAAATGCGGCCGCTTTTCTTTTGTGGATGGCCGCTCAATTTCCCGATCCGATGGCCGCGTATTTTATCATATTCCATACCACCTGGGGACCCCAGTCTTTACTGTTTATAAGCATGCAGATATGGCGGAGTGACAGGCCGAGCGCCGCCCAGTTAATATAATTCCATATTGAATTTGAAAATCGTGTATATTTCTATGTAACCATATGTTTATTGTTTATGCAATCTGACACGGATCTGTGCAAAATAGTAATACTAACTCAAAATAATAATAATATGCTATCTATATCAATTAGTCCCTAGCGGGATGGTACATGGTGAAATTAACAATGTACTTGAACAGTTCAGCACCGCGCGCCAACAATTGTTTAATTCAGATTATCGCGCAAAATAACTTTGCACAGGCAGACACGTGGGCGATAACTGGGGGCGAGGGCACGGTCGCAAGCTACCATATACAAAAAAAAACCTCGTTCATCGTTCGCTAACCCTTGTCCTTGACTCTTTTGTGCCTTCGGCACTTTGAGTCATGGATCGGGAAAAAATAATGACAATTAAAAGTTGAGGGACTTAGGCGCCTTAAAACTTGACTGGTAGAATAATGTTGAGTTATTTTTTGAGTTGCAGTAACCAATGTCCACATTCTGACGGATATCTTTACAAAAAATTTCATCAGCGCGTACGAATTATGTTTACCAACTAATGATAGTTGTTTTATCCACGTTTTATTAGTTTTTAAATAAATATTGACAATAAACTTAAAACCCAATATAAATTCCCGGTAACCTCTTCCTCAATAAATGTAACAACGAAATCGAATCCTCCTATTTCAGAACATTATTGTTGCTCTTCCTCAATAAATGTATCAACGAATCCTCCTATTTCAGAACATTATTGTTGCTCTTCCTCAATAAATGTAACAACGGATCCTCCTATTTCAGAACATTATTGTTGCTCTTCCTCAATAAATGTAATAACGAATCCTCCTATTTCAGAACATTATTGTTGCTCTGGGAACCTGCACATCTCTCCGACTAAACTTCACGTTAGCCTGGACCCCCGTGGTGAAGGGACAGCAAATAAACTTCGACCCGTTCGGACAACTGCCCTTCCAGGACACCGTCATTGGTGGACTCTGCCAAGGGTTCGGAGGAGGGCTGAAACACAGAGCTACCAGTTTGGCGCAGTTACAGCAACTTACTATCAATGATCCTAGCGTACGTGTTTGCGATATAGTTCCTCTATTTTAGTGCCGTGTTTACTTAATTATTACTAACAGTTTTAATGTATGCTAATTATTACTAACAGTTCTAATGTATGCTAATTATTACTAACAGTTCTAATGTATGCTAATTATTACTAACGGTTCTAAAGTATGCTATTCAGTGCTCAGTACCTAAAGGCTTGACATCAGCTGTTTCTATGATGAGCATATCAGAGCAACCCGACCAGCCGTTAGCCGCACTGTTACAGGACACCATCATCTTGTATGAGGACTTCGAACGTAAGTTACTGTTTTTTAGTTTTCAGATTAAGAATTTATTAATTACCACCTTATCATTTATACTAGTTTACCAGTATTCACTGAGCTTGAGAACATGTGATATATCAGATGAGATTATTTTAATTGGGAGTATACCCTTATCATGTGATTCTCTCAATATCCGAGAAAAATATTGAGTCGCGAATTTTTGGAAGCATCTGTAATTTTTAAATGCAGACAAGTCTTGAAATTGAGCTTCTACCATCTGACATACGCTCATTCGATGTCCTTATCTAGAATTAAGCAAAAAAACAATTAAAATCAAAATAATTAATAGCCTAAAATATTAACCTTAATTATGGTTGTGTCTAAGCGAAGAAAAGTAAAAAGTTAGAATGATATGATACACACAGAGTGTAATACAGTAGCTGATAAAACATATTTTAATCTGTAGGATAAAGTAGTGAATTGTTCGAACTGTGAGTCAGCACGCTACCTGGACTCTAGTTCGACACGTACCGAAGTTCGAATGAGGTGATTTAGGGACAATTTTAGTTGTCGAACTACAGTTCATGAATCACTCTGAACCTTCTGAGCTGATAAACTAAACCTCCTCTTCCTCCCACAGTTCAGTTCAGTGAAGTAAAGGACCTGTTGTCAGCTCTCAGACAGTTACGGATAGACCTTCACCCAGCCCCTGCCGGTACTCCCCAACTTAGTACTGGCACTATGTCCTCTGCAGCTTCATCCCAGGTCAGTTGTTAAACGGTTGTTAAGTGGCGATCTAGAGCGGTTTTAAAACGGCTCTTAACCGGTTACTGACAGGCTCTAGCTAGAGCAGTTTTGGACTATCTGTTTTCTCTACAGGGATTTGTCTTTAGCACACCAGTTTTTGTGGTTTGAATGACCTCTTTTTAAACATTATGGTATTCCCAGGATAACGGTGGTTACTTCGGATCAGTTGATAATGTAAGCAGTGTCCACAGCAGCCCTGCCCCCTACCCTAACAGCGTGACTCGGCTTAATATCAGGTATGTAACCTCATAGTTACCACACATTTTTAATTATTTAGTTACTAAATTAGTTACTAAATAAGTGACCGGTAACGAGGTAAGAGATATTTGTTCTAACCCAAATATTTCAGTTCCCTTGCTCTAAACGACTCGCCCTCCAACTCGCCATCAAACCGAGAAACAAAGTGGATATCCGAGAGCATGCGACCCCGGAATCGTAAGAAATCCATCTTCTCCTCCGTGCGACAGAAGAAGTACAAGCGGTATAACGTACCGGTGGGACCGCTGTTTAATAACTACGACCAGACTCTAAAGAAGACGCGGTTAACGTCGCGCTGCGCACAAGTGGACCGCTTCCTTGCCATTCACCTCCAGTACTTGCAGGTAACTGAACTTTTAATTATCTTTTTTTATTAAATTTTTAATTTGCGAATTTATTTTGACATAAGGAAGTTTGTCCAATTTAACCCATTTAGATGGGGACGCATTGAAGAGACTTTTTGGATCCAATCGAACGCTTTAATTCTTTAAAGTTCATTTCTTATAGTCTCAATAATCATACATCATTCCTCGGCTTATGTTAAGACTCTTTACAAAGACTCCTGTTAAAAAGCAAATTAAAAATAAAGTGTTGTTGTGTGAAATTATTATTTACAACTATTTACAACTCGATTCACGCATCATAATAACTCACAAGGTCATGTCTACTAGACATTGTACTGTCTACTGTTACTAGACATGGTCTAATTAAAATTCATGCAAAAAAATAATGTTCCATTTTCAATGTTCATAGTTTAAAATGTTCTAGAACTTTCTCATCTCCTGCCGACCACTACTCAGTACTCACAAGTAAAGTTGCCCTGTTGCACACAACTCCACTCCGGTTTTGGAGGAAGATCTGGTTTAGGTGGAGGAATCACTCCTTCACACGTTCCCCCACAAGTAGGGGTCATCTTCCTACCCAGTACCATATCATCAGCTGGAAAGAAGATGTTCTGACATCCCATCTTGTAGAAGGAGAAGTAGTGGACCTCGCTGTAGTGCTCAGCACACTCTCCGATCAACTTGCTGGTGTAGATTTCTGAGGAAACCCCGCTCCCACCCCTTGACACAACTTCCAGTACCACAACTCTGTTTGTCAGAGAGAAAACCCATTCGTATTGCTTGTTCCCGTTCGGTTGTTGTTTTACCAATCTCCTGGGAGTTCTGCAAGCTACACAACCCGTCAGATATATCCCCTTCTGATTCCACTGGAACTTTCCTAGTTGGACCCCTTCTTTGTCGTAGAGGACTATGGAGTTGAGAACAGTTCTGTCTACTTGAGATGTGACAGATATAACTTGGTGGGAGGTTGTCATGTCGTGTTTTACAGCACATTCCAGGTCTGAGCAGTAGTTACATTCTCTTGTCCAACAGTTGCAAGTGTTCAAATAACTTCTTCCCTCATCGTACTGGATGTATTCTGTCTCATTTGGGTTTCTTTCATAATCCTCATCTTCTCTAGGTATACGTTCAATCTTATTACCAGAGGAGGAATCAGAACCAGAGCTGGAACTAGAACCAGAGCTTGAACCAGAAAGTGAACCGGACTTAGAACCAGAACCAGAACTGGAGCTAGAACTTGAACCAGAAAGTGACCCGGAACCAGAACCAGAGCTGGGACCTGAACTAGAACTTGAACCAGATCTGGAACCTGTTACCTGAACTTGAGCCATAGCTGGAACCTGAACCAGAAGCAGAGCTGGAACCTGAACTAGAACTTGAACCAGATCTGGAACCGTTACCTGAACTTGAGCTATAGCTGGAACCTGAACCAGAAGCAGAGCTGGAACCTGAACTAGAACTTGAACCAGATCTGGAACCGTTACCGGAACTTGAGTTATTATAGCTGGAACCTGAACCTGAAGCAGAGCTGGAACTTGAAGCAGAGCTGGAACCTGAACTAGAACTTGAACCAGATCGGGAACCGTTACCGGAACTTGAGCTATAGCTGGAACCTGAACCAGAACCGTAATTTAGACCAGAGCTGGAAACTGAATACAGTTTGACTTTTAAAGGAAGTCTGTCCAAGTTAACCCATTTAGATGGGAAAACATTGAATAAACGTTTTGGATCTAATCGAACGCTTTAAAATCCATTTCTTATAACTTCTCAATAATCATACATCATATCTCGGCTTGTGTTAAGAATATTTACAAAGACTCTTGATAAAGAGCAAATTAAAGTGGAGTGTTTATTTACACCTATTTACAACTCGATTCACGCATTATAATAACTCACTAGGTATATTGTCTAGTAACTTTAAACAGTACAATCGATTTTATTCGACTTAAGATTCATGCAAAAAAATAATGTTCCATCTTCAATGTTCATAGTTTAAAATGTTCTAGAACTTTCTCATCTCCTGCCGACCACTACTCAGTACTCACAAGTAAAGTTGCCCTGTTGCACACAACTCCACTCCGGTTTTGGAGGAAGATCTGGTTTAGGTGGAGGAATCACTCCTTCACACGCTCCCCCACAAGTAGGGGTCATCTTCCTACCCAGTACCATATCATCAGCTGGAAAGAAGATGTTCTGACATCCCATCTTGTAGAAGGAGAAGTAGTGGACCTCGCTGTAGTGCTCAGCACACTCACCGATCAACTTGCTGGTGTAGATTTCTGAGAAAACCCCGCTCCCACACCGTGACACAACTTCCAGTACCACAACTCTGTTTGTCAGAGAGAAAACCCATTCGTATTGCTTGTTCCCGTTCGGTTGTTGTTTTACCAATCTCCTGGGAGTTCTGCAAGCTACACAACCCGTCAGATATATCCCCTTCTGATTCCACTGGAACTTTCCTAGTTGGACCCCTTCTTTGTCGTAGAGGACTATGGAGTTGAGAACAGTTCTGTCTACTTGAGATGTGACAGATATAACTTGGTGGGAGGTTGTCATGTCGTGTTTTACAGCACATTCCAGGTCTGAGCAGTAGTTACATTCTCTTGTCCAACAGTTGCAAGTGTTCAAATAACTTCTTCCCTCATCGTACTGGATGTCCTCCGTCTCATTTGGGTTTCTTTCATAATCCTCATCTTCTCTGGGTATACGTTCAATCTTATTACCAGAGGAGGAATCAGAACCAGAGCTGGAACTAGAACCAGAGCTTGAACCAGAACGTGAACCGGACTCTGAACCAGAACCAGAACTGGAGCCGGAACCTGAACTAGGACCTGAACTTGAACCAGAGCTGGAACCAAAACCTGTGCCTGAACTTAAATCTGAACTAGAACTTGAACCAGAACCAGAACCTGGATTAGAACTTGAGTCAGAATTAGAACCTGAACCTGAGCTTGAACCTGAACCTGAGCTGGGACTGGAACCGGAACCGGAACCGGAACCGGAACCAGAACCGGAACTGGAATTTGAACCGGAGCTGGAACCGGAACCGGAATCTGAGCCGGAGCTGGAACCCCAACCCGAACTAGAGCTCAAACCAGAACTTATCTCAGGAAGTTCAGGAAGCAGCAGCTCCTCACTTTTTGATACTGACCGGTAATAGAAACCGTCCATATTCTGAAAACGCAGAGCATCTCCAGGTATAGTAGCAAGTCGTCTACAGTCCGCTGGCGCAGACCTCTCCATAAAGTATTCATATAGTGGTTCTCCGTTGCAAGACAGGCTGAATCTCTCAGAATCAATGTGCAGTGACCAGACCTGATCTTTTTCACCGTCACATGGCTCACTTTCGTATTTTCCGAATCTTTTGGGAGCACATGGACCATTTAGAACGTCGTGCCCAGTCTTTGTTTTGATAGTGCTCCACATAAAAGGTGTGCTGGTCACTGGCGATCTGTCATCAAAGAAGCTCAGCAGAACTGCATAACTTTTGTCTATAATAGCCCCTGCCATAGAAAAAGGTCGGTTGTCCGGGTTTTCAGGTCTGGTGGTCTTTATTTCCAGCGCATTCTGTTCCAGGTCGAATTTGACCATTTCAAAGTCTGAGTTGATCCTAGTCCACTGGCCTACTGAAGATTCTCCCCCATTGAATATCCTGCCAACTAGAGGAACTGGTGGTACTTTTGTTGTACTAGTAAAAAAAGCAGGTACATCTGTAGGTATAATGTAGCTCAGCGCTGCTGCTCTGGGTACTATTCTATAATGGGCCATCCTCATTCCCAGCAGCTCTACTTTATCAACGGGAACTGTGACCAGTTCTCTGCAAGCCTTCTTATCCTCCACTCCTACTCTCCGCTCATACATCATCTCTCCGTTACAAGACAGTGTGATCTTATCCGAGGAGATATCCCAGCCCCAAATCTGGCCAGTAGCCCCGTTACAGGGCCTGGTTTTGTAGCTGAGATACTCGTTATCACAGTTAATATTAAGGATATCATCTCCGGAATCCTTACGGTCCGCACTCCACATAATATGACTCATCCCCACTGGAACATTCCTGCTGAACAGCTGGATGTACATGTACATGCTGTGTGGACCCAGATTTGTGGTCTTTAGTTCCAGGATGCTGTCCGTCATGGACACGTCCACTTGCTCGAAGAGCGATTCTATCAGTAACCACGGGCTGATCTGGGGTTCAGAGACTGCATTGTTAACAATATCATAGTATGCTGCTATGACGGGGAGGCAGGTCAGTAGACCTAGCACCGGAACCAATCCTTTCATTATCCTGTAGTGGGTTTATTGTGTGATTGGCGCAATTTAATTATTAATTTATTGATTAATCAGAGGTTTTTGATTAAAAATTATGGTTACAAATATTCGATGAGCAAAATTACTCGAATTCTTAAGAATAGCAAATTGAATAATCAAGCGACGATCAATAAAAATGTTTCTCTATATTGATCACGGTCCTTGCATTCCACGTTTTTCGCCGAAATTGCAATCCTGGAATTTTGTTGATAGTTTTTGACAGGATGGGCCGATCCGCTGCATTTTTTGTTTATTCGAATCAAATGCCTGATAGGATCCGAAATTGATTAATTTTGATGTGTTGACAATAGATACAACAACTAAGAACAAACATGAATTATAAAATGAACATTCAAATAAATATACTTTACAATAAATATTGAGCTCCCAAATCATAAAGTGCTTTTAAATAACCAGGTCCAACCCTGGCTCCATAATATGAAGGACTTGTTTTAATTCTGAATGAAAAGCTCGAATAAATGGATGTCTGCCAAGCGTCAAACTATTTATTAAGGCGGTTGGTGGAAATATCATTGCATTGAGGCGAATAACTTGCAAGTATTAAATTGTAATTTTTAAACATTTTAAGATTTTACTGCTTGTTATAAAGCCACGTACGCCTTTTTTTATTAGATTCTTGGTGTTGCTACAATCCTTTATGTCGGCATCCTAATTGTTAGTCGATAAGTTAACTGACTCATGAACACTGAACAAATGAATTCCTAGATAGAATGATAATGACGCAGACGTAAAATAACACTCTATAGTTTAGTTCACATAGCAGAACAAATCCCTCCGCAACTGTCACTTACTTTACTCCCCACCAACATCTCACTTGTTGGAGTGAAGCTGTTATCACAGCCCATATTGTAGAAAGAGAAGTAGCTGACCTCACTGTAATGTTTGCCACATTCCCCCTTTAATATCTGTTGGTAGACATGGTCTCCTTCCTCAGTTCCTCCTCTTACCCTCAGTTGGAGTACCCCACTGTTAAGAGAAACCTCCCAATTAGAAGCCCCCTTATTAGAGTTAACCAGCCTTCTTATCTGTCTGGGAGTCCTGCAGCCCACACAGCCCGTCAGAAATATCCCTCTTAAATACCACTGGAACTTTCCTAGTTGGACCCCTTCTTTGTTGTAGAGGACTATGGAGTTGAGAACAGTTCTGTCTACTTGAGATGTGACAGATATAACGTGGTGGGAGGTTGTCATGTCGTGTTTTACAGCACATTCCAGGTCTGAGCAGTAGTTACATTCTCTTGTCCAACAGTTGCAAGTTGGCAGATTCTGAGCATCAACAGTCAAGTTCTCCACATCCGCCCTTGTCAAGTTCTCGACATCAGTTTTGATCAAGTTGCTAAGATCAGCTCTAGGAAACCTTTCTTCCTCATTCTCTCTTATTTCCGATCTAGGTTCCCGTTCAGAACCCTCATCTTTAATAACTCCGTGAATAGGAAAAGCCCGGTAAGCGAACCCCTCCATGTTGGTAAACTCCAAAGTATCAACAGGTCCTGATCCTAACATCTTACAAGACTCTGAGTCCTGAACTCCAACCTGCCTCATATACTGAATACCACTGTCACATGTCAGTAAGATGGTATCGGAAGTGAAGACCCAGGCCCACTCCTGAACCTGATACCCATTACAAGGGTTACCCATGTAGCTTGCTGAGTCGGAACATGCCCCATTCAGCACATCTACTCCGTTCTTACTTTTAACAGTGTTCCATGTTAGTGGGTGTTGATTTAGCGCGGTTTCCCCATTAAACAGCCTCATTGACATGGCGGTCCTAGTTACCTCCCCTGAGGTACTACCCCGAACTGATCTAATCTGAAGTATAGCGTCACGGAGTGGGAACCTTACTCTTTCTGTCCCTGATCTGATCTGGGTCCAGTGTAGGAAAGAGCTCTCTATTTTAGCAGTCTCTCCGTGAAGCAGGAGAAGAAGAACGAGGATCAGAAACATGTCTTCAAAATATACTGTAAAATAAATCTAGGTTAAAATCACAATTAAACGCAATTTTTAAACGCAATTTCCTGTTAGTTAATGGTGATAACAGACGTACTGTTACGGACACAAGACAAAGAATCTGGAAAATGTACAATATCTTTTTAATCCACAAAGAAACTATGACATTTTTGTAATAGAAAATACTGCGAGGAAGAGAAAAGGGTTGTACCAAGTAGTAATAGTGCTCCGTACTGTCGTGTCCGAAATATTTGTCGAGTCCCTCTCCCCTGTATATCAGAATTACTGAACCGATCTGATTGTTATCCTTGGTATCTGGTAATTTCTGGTAATTCTGATATTTCTAATATTTATGGTATTTATAATATCTGGTTCCTGGTGGTGGTTAGGGTCTGTCAGAAATATAGTTATTTCCACTAATTTGGTAATGAAAGTATGTCATGTGCAGGGAACTCTTACAAAATGCTGTTGCTATTTGCAAGCTGTAATTTAACCACTCAACAAGAAAGAGAGATATCCAATATTTGAAATTGTCCAACGTCCATGTCAGTAGTTCTGTAAAACAATGTTTGATAACTGGTCCAGTTAAACTGGTCCACAATTTATTACACTGACAGGCAGGTTCTCTCATTGTGACAACCTACTGAAGTAGCTGTCAACGTACCTTATCACAATTCACACCACCCCTACGTATCTTGTTCACAAACAAGTGGTACTGACCTGTGTATAATCGTCCCAATAAAATAAGAACTCTGGCCATCAGTTAAAACCAGCGATAATCCCCGTCTCAAACTAACAGTGTGTTTCACCCCAAACTAACAGTGTGTTTCACCCCACTAACAGTGTGTTTCACCCCAGGACGTGTGCAGTAACCTACAGTGCAGCTATCTCCTAAAAACCCGGCAGCAGAGCACGCTGGAAGTTGTACGGGAGCACTGCGCTATGTTTCTGCGTGTACGTGACTACATACGCGACCGTCCCGAACTGATAGCCGTCACTCTAGAACCACTGTTGTTAGAAGATAGATGGAGGGGACTTTGGAATGTGCTATCAGGTTTGTTCTTTCAAGAGGAATTCGCAGCAAAAACCGTATTTTAAATATCAGCGATCATTCGTATAATTTTTTATATAATGACAAACTTGCTCTGCTCTAACATGTAGAAAACATTTTATATTATTTAAACCTCCCTCTAACACCACCACCACCTCAACAGAGGACAAGTTCTGCACGATAACATACGACAAACTCTACTCAAAACTCTCCTCCCACTATGGTCACATGTTGCAAGATACCCCTGACGAGATGTTCAAGTACATGATACAGTGTATTACTGACAGTGTTAATTCTAAGTACAATGATGTTAACACCGCCACTGTTTGCCAGGTTTGTTTGTTTGTTTGTTTGTTTTTCCGCGTGTATGTCCTACGTACGTCTGTTTGTTTTTCAAGTGTTTGTATTGTCATAAGGTATATTTCAAGCGACACTAAAACGCTTCAACGATCTAAGCATAAATGTTTTAGAGTTTTTAAATTCCCATTTTGTTTTGACTATACAATCCATCTAGTAATCAAATATTTTCTAATAAACATATAATTACAGGTTATACGATATTTCAAAGAACGCTCTACAAATGGAGTTGGTCGATTCATCAGACAATTCTCCCAAGAATACGGTATTGTACACGGTCTCAGGGCCCACTTGCTCAGAGACAGAGAGGATGCCGTTCAGAGGTTCCAGAATTTGTCAGTCAGCGGCACCAAGTTCCGTATAGCCATGTGCATGTTGGGAAGCTCCCGATCAGAAGCAGTTGCTCTTACAAGTTCCACTTTTACTGAAGTCAAGAACTCTGAGAGTATGAGACAACTGGTAAGTTTTATTTTTATTATTTTTGTTGCAAATAATTTTTGTTTAGTCTTAAACTAATTTCTTTTCTCCAACTTCCTCCTCATTTCAAGTATTTAAACATGTTTCACGAAGTTAAATCTCTTATTTTCAGGCAAACCATGAATGCTGCAAAGGACTAGAGGACGTGTCGCCCTACATTCGCCACTGCGCGTGTCTAGCTATAGACATGTTGAATGTTACCGACAGTGTCCAGCTACTTCAGAGGATAGCTGGTGTTGATCTCAGTCACATCAGACACGCCGCTGTCAAGGTTCTCGAGCGATGGGGTGAGCCACTTTCACTTTCACTTTCACTTTTGCTAGCTAATATTGTTCACTTTTCTATTTTAGAAATTTTGTTGTATTTCGCAAATTACTTTCACTTTTTAAATGATAAACTATAACTCAATCGTTTGGTTTGTTAGTAACAATGATTTTCACCAGGACTGAAAGAAGACCCCCTAAAAGAAGGAGTACACCCTTACCTCTCCGTCAAATTAGACCCCGACCTTCGTACAGAGGACGTGTTACACTTCTCTCTAAAGATCCCTACCACTACCACTCTCTAAATACCTCTTATATTTCGTGACGTCACTATCCTTATCATGACGTCACTCCCCATCACGTGACGTCATACTTTATTTCGCGGCGTCGATCACTCGAGATCCCTTGAGCGATGATCCGCCACCTTGTTGCCTTCATGTGCTATACCTGCACGTTTTATTTTCATACTCGAACTAGAACTTATATTTTAAATAACTTAATAAATGTTGCAACCAAACGAAAAACGTGTTGGTGAATTGTATACAGACTTGTTATACGTGTTTAATGTTTTCGCGGGTTTTATCGTTGTTTACACAAACTGTAACTTGGCTGAAAAAGGTCGAGTTGATTTCTTTTTCTATTCTCTTTTTATTTGATAATATTGAGCTCGTGAACTGGTTCAAGCTGAGGAATGTGCAGATTTAAATGTAGATTTATTATGTGACAACTGATAAGAGTGCTTGGAATTTGTTTTGTGGTTATAAAGATCGCACCGCGCTGGATGCTTTAAGTAACGAGCGAGACCACTCTCAGTTGTCAGGGGACAAGTTGTATGATGACGTCACAATTCGTTGATATCATTGTATGAATTACGAGATGTTACTATTATTTGTGCGATACTGTTACAAATGCTATATCGCCATGACCAATGGCTGATGTCTGCAGGTGTATTCCATCGGATAAAACTACCGGATATAAACTAACGATGATATTCATACTGTAAATGCTGTTTGGGTGATCAGCATTGCTGTTTCAAATGTTTTTAGATTTGAACAACCATCCCCATCGTCTGTGTTCGCAGATTTTCTTGCGACGAATGGTATTAATATTTATTTCTATCAAGATTATATCATATTTTAAAGACTTACGCGTAAAGATGGCTCAAGAGTCAACGACAATTAATTTTGTGCCTGGAATTGATTTGCACGACGAGCTGACTGACTGTCGCCTTGTATTGGTATTTTCCATGTTAAATGTTAAGATGTTAATGTTCCAGTTCACTCCTGAGCTCTTAAGTCCAAAACAATGAACTTTAATATAACGTCGATGTATTGGATTGTAAATAATTGGCAATAAATATCAATATTTATTATTTTCAGACAAAAAAGTTTATGATTTGTTGTTTCACATAGCCATGTGCCTACGCGTACTGCGTGACGCGCTTGTTTCACAAGTAGTCGCGCGCTACTGCAAGCGAGAGGGCTCTGGTTAGAGCAAATTTGTTGTAGTAGTAGCAAAATCTAATATAAGGGGGGAGCCGGGAGGTCCAGCCTGGATTTTTTTGAAATCGTTTCCGATAATAGCAGTTGGCCAACAAACTTTTAAGAGGGTCCCGGACCCCAATCGCCCATTGGTTTTTTGGCCCAATTATGCCAAATCACCTCAATGCTCAACATGCCCTGTGCCCAAAACCCAGATCTTCATTCTAGCTGTTTACGAACAGAGAAAGACCCAGATCACTAGGTAACCGATTTCGAGAATGTTGCATTGCATGTCGGACTTGCTATGGGCGCGGGCGCCTCAAAATCTGAGTTCATGACCATTGACCACCAGCATGGCCATCTTAACGGGTGATACTCGTCGAGTCCAACTGTACTCGGCGCGCGTCCTGGTAGGGTATAAACCTAGAATTTTTATCCATTAAATTATACATATATCATCACAACTGACAACAATGAACAATAACACCACCCTGTCAACAACAAAGTCAACAGACTGAATCAGGAAACTTGGTTAACTAATGGCCCAAGACACACCAAACTGACACTCGGCCACAAGCACGCCAACATTTAACGGGTGATACTCGTAAAATATCTGTTTCATACCGTCGACGAGTCCAACTCGGCGCGCGTCCTGGTAGGTTATAAACCTACAAGCCAATTACATCATATCCAAAAACCTCAACACTACACTCAGCAACAACAGACAAGATTACAGAACTGCAGATCATCTCATCACGGGTCACTGCGGCTAATTAAACAAACACCTTCACACCATTTGCAAATCAAACACCAGTGCTTGCCCTATGTGCGGCGATGGAGAGGAAATTAACGGGTGATACTCGTAAAATATTTGTTCCATATATTAGGACCGTCGACGAGTCCAACTCGGCGCGCGTCCTGGTAGGTTGTAAACCTACAAAGAGGAAACTGTCTCACACTTCCTTGGACAGTGCATGTCCGGCTATCATGCCCAAATAAGAGGTCAATATTTCCAAAACTACTATTTCTCTATCAACGATATATTTGTTGTAGCGCGATGCACTACTGGGTCGCGCGCGCATCAAATAATGCTTCTCGCAACCACAGATCGGCGAGATGCGAAGGATTGACATCGTGAATCAAATATATTTGACGATCACCACGATTGTCAATTTCGCAAACTGCACCAAACTGCAAACGCTTAAATGTGCCGGAAGTGCTTGACGGATGTTACTCGTCTAAATTTCTTCGAAGTAGCGCGCGCCGCTTTCTTCTCGAAATGTTAGACGGGAGAGAAACGAAAGATCGAGCGCTTATTGCTTAGCGCAAACTTGACTTATATCGCGCGTTACCGCGAGCACATTACCATTTCTGCATCTTGTGACACTGTGACAGCACAGATACTGGACAGAGTTGATATGAAAGTAATCTGGTAAATTTGCCATGCATATCGATGGAATTTTTTATTATGTTAGCATTCAATAAATAGGCTTGGTTAATTTGAAGCGGTCTGTTGCAGAACAAGAATTCTAATACATTTCATCCCATCAAATTCAATAACTCAATACAGTCAATATAAGTATGCCATGGCCATTTGCCTATCACCGTTATCAACATGCACAACAGTTATAAGTTAAGTTTAATCATCCACGATCAATTACAAAAGCCAAATATGATAAATAACATATGAAATATAAACAGTAAAGAGTAAATTTCACACGTACAAACTACAAATACGAGACCCCAAAATACATACTTTCAGTGCAGCTATCACAGATAATGCTGAAAAATTGCATATTACAAGCCGGGTTCACGGGCTTCCTGAAACATCGTATGTACATGCAACCCACTGTCATAGTTGTAATATATATATATTGGTCGAGGTAAATCCTATCATAATTGAAGGGTTGGGATTGTGTTCACATTTCACAGTTCAGTCACAAAATATTTGAAGGTTATTGTCTATCAAGTATTACATGTTGATGTAGCGTTAAAGTAGAAGGAATGTCCAATCGTTGATCTGTATACCATTTAACCAAGTTTGATGTCTTTCGTTTTTCATCATGAAGCATACTTTAGTCTGATCAAGCTGAATTTCTGATCTCCGGTTGCCAGTCGTTGCCTGCGCCCTGCAGTCGACCTGCAACAAAATCAGAATATTATTGATAGCACTAATAAGATTGAAGAGAAAAATTCGAATCCCTCTGTATCTCAGTAAAAAATTTGATGTTCAAATGTTTTAAAGTCATTCAAGGAACGGAATCTTCTTTAATTTATACATGCAATTTATACATTATACAATTTATACATACTTCAATAACTAAAACTTGTCTTAGTTTGAACAGCAGTCTGACTGAGGGCAAGAGCAGGTTATAGGGATTTCAGAGTTCAGACACTGAAACTCTAGGTACCTGAAAATAATAAATGTTACTCAACAAATCTTGCAGATATAGTTTAGAAACTAGACATGAAATACGGCCACAGAATTATTGCCTCCTTTCTCACAATTTCTCTGGTACCATTATTGCTATGCAATATGCGACACAGTACATTGCGTCTTGAAGTCTCACTAGTGTATTAATTTTTTCTAACATGTAAGACAGATTTAGAAATAATTGATTATGTTATTAATTAGATTTCAACGTGTAAGACTAGGGAAGAAGAGATGAAGGTAGGACTAAGATTGACAGCAACCATTTTGTAGATAGTTATTAGTTCTTTGCACACCATCAATTTGGCAGCAATGCAGATTCACAGGGTGATCCAAAACAACCCGGAAACTTAGACCCTACCTAGACAGTACGTTACGCGTTACGTAGTCGATTACGTGATGGAGTCTTTGTTCTGCCTTGACAGCACGTATTGCAGTACGTGATCCAGTATTTGATACTAGCTAGACGGCATGTATTGCAGTACGTGATCCAGTATTCGATCCTAACTATTATAGAGTATAGACGGCACGTAACGCGTCACCTGATCATCTTAAGAATTATACTGAGCTTGTCCATAAAGCATAAATCAATAAATGGTGAAGTCTTGCAAAATGTCCAACACTAATCTATTTTGAATTGTGTTATTTATGTGTTTAATTTGAATTTAGATTATAATGGAAGTCCGTTCGTTTCAAATAAATCATCCAAACCTCGTGAGTACTAAGTTCACTGAACAATTCATAATTAAATTGAAAGTATGAACATCGGACAAGATATAAGGATATAATACGGAAATAGATAATTTCTCTTTTGTCAATTAAAGTACTGCCGACTTTACGTCATGAAAATGTGCAAGAACTGAAAGAGTCGAGGTACTCACGCACTATAATTAGAGTTAGACTGTGTCTAATTAAAGTACGTGAGTACCTGGACTTGTCTAAGACACGCACTGCAGTTCGAAAACTAAAGGCTTAATTGACAGCTTGCTTGGGATCCATTATGGTTGCTTGTTAAATTTAGTGTACATAATAATACAATATTATTTACCAGTACAGTAATTATTAGAATTATCAAATTTATATGAATGTGACTAATCTGACAAAATGTTTCGAACGAATCCAATGAAACGACAGAGTCGAACTTCAGTTCATACCGTCCAGCTAAAACAAAGACTTGATAACGTAACACGGTCTGAGGTGATATACTGCAGTACGAAACAGCTGCAGTAATGGTCAATGGATTCTTTGGTCTTAGCTAGACGGTATGTAGCGTGTTCAATTATGTTTCGCGTTAAGTATCGTATAGCTAGAGTCTAATAGTAAAATAAATTAAGAAACTGAATCGAAACAGTTAACTTCAGTAATTACGCTAGTTGATAATGGTTACAGTAGTTGCTATCATGAAAGTATACAAAAAATATAAGATCGGCAAGTCAACCGGTGTAAGAACGAATATGTTTTAGGGTTTTTAAATTGTGGTTACCTTTCTGTGGAATTATAACTTTCGATCGATTATTTGTTCTAGGGATAACTGAAAACTAGGGATAACTGTACCATTCTAAAACGGCTAGAGCCAAGTTTGCCACACGATGAAAATGTTAGGTTATAGGATTAGATGATAGTAACATGGGAACAGGTGGTTCATCAATTGTGACCGGTCAATCGTGACCTGTAAACATTGCTGTTCTAAAATATGGGTGCAGAATATTCGCGAATTTTACGATTGGTCCAACAATAGGTGGGGCAGCCGTCCATTGGTTGTAAGTCATGTGACCTAGGTCACATGACCATAGCAGGTGGACTAAAGCCTCATTTAACCCCGGTCAGCTCACGGTGCACTAACTTTAGTGTGACGTTAAAATAGGTATTGACCTGCAAGGTAGGCAATATAAATACAGATGTTTTGTGTCGAAAAAGTTAGTTTATTTTAAACCACTTCTCCTAAACTGTTGTTTCCGTTGTAACATTGGCGACGAGTGGAAGAGCCCACGCATATTCTCTAAACCATCAGAGACTGGAGCCCGCCCAACCTACAGCTACAGAGACTGGAGCCCGCCCAACCTACAGCTACAGAGACTGGAGCCCGCCCAACCTACAGCTACAGAGACTGGAGCCCGCCCAACCTACAGCTACAGAGACTGGAGCCCGCCCAACCTACAGCTACAGAGACTGGAGCCCGCCCAACCTACAGCTACAGAGACTGGAGCCCGCCCAACCTACAGCTACAGAGACTGAAGACGAGAAACGAAGAGCCCGCCCAACGAAGAGCCCGCCCAACCTACAGCTACAGAAACTGAAGACGAGAAACGAAGAGCCCGCCCAACGAAGCCCGCCCAACGAACACGACAAGTGGAAGAGCCCAAACGTAGAAACCTGCTACCGCACTGATATTTGAGGTATTGTTTATATCAAGTTTGGCGTTTAACATTAAGAATGGCAACTTTTACAGAAGAGCAAGTTAATGTAATT